ATGCAACTTGCATCTCTTACCAAGACCTGTACGTCCACTTCCTTATTTTTGCAACCAAATACACTGACCTGCACTTGCAAATAAACATTGGATTAATGGGAAAGCTAATTAAATTGGCCTGATGGCTTTCTCCTTCCTACATCCCTACATCTCATGTATTCTTTTATATCTGTACAAAATGCAGCCACAGAAGAGTATGGGTTTTATTTACTTTTGAACAGGTGAAAAACAGAGCCAAGCAAGAGAGGAGACGTGGTAGTTCACAGTGGTGATCACTGTCATTCAGTTATGTTTTACAAGATTACTTTTGATAGGTAATCTAGACTGGTATCTAATAACGTAGTTGCATGTGAGCATGATTATTCCAGCCACACTTAAATATGTCATTTAACTTTTTTTCATTTTAAGACTCCTGAAAAAACAGTTCTTTCATCGAGCATTAAAAGTGATGAAAATGAAACCTGACAAGGATACAAAGAAAGAAAAGGAAAAAGGAAAGGCTGAGAGTGGGAAAGAAGAAGAGAAGAAAAGCAAGAAGGAAAGCAGCAAAGATGAAAAAACTAAGAAGGAGAAAGAAAAGAAAAAGGATGGTGAAAAAGAAGAGTGTAAGAAGGTAAGTGAGGTCTTTGAGAAAAGAGACAAACCTGTCAACAGAGAATACAGTGAGTGATGTTGTGAAGATTACATGGGCTTAAAAATGCAGTTGGTTGTTCCAAAGTATGAGATGCTTTTTTTTTTCTTTGCCAATCTTAGTCTCTAAAATACACTTTTTTACTTTGGAGTTCTAGTTCTGATTCAGATCAAAGCAGACACTTCATTTGTGTCTCTGTGTACCTCATCATCTTGTAACGTGGGCTAAGTTAATAAAAACTGCTTCTGTTCAGCTTCAGTGGGCACTGATGCTTTGTGCAAGTGTACTGTAGCATAGATTGACATGTGTGTATGTGACCTAACATCTCAAAGCAGTGCAGCTGCACACGTAAAACAGAAGAGCATTTTTGCCGTGTTTGGTGGTAAGAAAGTTTGGGATGTGATTCTTGGTGCTTGTGAATAGTTCTGTAGTAGTGGGCCATGTTGGTGTAAGGGAGATCCGTTTGTAATCTACGCAGTGCTTAGACTTCACAGATCTCTCATTTATTTTCTTTACAGTTGACACTCGCTGAAGAGGGGTGTGTTATTTGTTATGTGTTCAGTGGTTGAATCCAGCAAGAGTTGGTAGGATAGCCTCAGAAGTTAGTCCAGCTCCAACAGTCTAAAGTGAGGTAATGGTACACATTTAAAGGCGTAGTCTGCCTATGCAAAGGTCTGGATCTCAGAAGAAAGTTACATGGCCAGTAAGGGAATTATAAACAAAACAAACTTGCTGACAGCCTAAACAAAGAAGCCAGTATAAGATATGAGATACCTTAAAATGCTGATACTGGAAGTTAGGAACTCCTCCAGTTCCCTGTTTCTGAAGTGTTACGTTATTAAATGTTAATTTTTAATCCTTAATTATCAAACTGATATTTTTGTAGCTGATATAAGCCAGTGGATGCTAACTTAGCAGAGGGCAAAAATTAGAAAGTTTATTTCTAGCAAAGAGAAAGGAGACAGGAGGTAGGGGAGAAGCACAAGCCATGAAAGGAACTGAGGAAGGTAGAGAATATAATGGCAGAAACTGATTCTGAAAGATGTCCATGTGGTAAATGTGGCACCAAGCTACCAAATAATTGCAAGAGAGTTGGTGGTCTCTACACAGACTGTTTATGTCAGTGGAGCTTTGATATGCATTTAAACACATAATGCAATCCTGGGGTTATAGTATTGTCCTTAGATACTACATAAAATAAAATTTCTCTGTCCTTACAGTATTCCTTTATCTTTAGCTACTCAGGAGAACAGGAGGAAATAAAACATCTTTAGTTATGATCACATTTGATATATATCAAGTTTGTGAAAAGTTATCAGATTCAATATATTCAAATACTAGAAGTTAAGACCCTGTGTGTGCTTTTTATGTATAGTTTATATTTGTCCTCAGGATGATACCCCAGGCACACCAAAAAAAAAGGAAACTAAGAGGAAATTTAAGCTTGAGCCACATGAAGACCAAGTTTTCTTGGATGGAAATGAGGTAAGATTTATGGGTACTTCCTAAATTTAATGTCAGTGTATTATTGTCAGATAATTTACTGGAATTCCACAGACTCTTTCTTGTCCTGTTGAAGGAAGAAATAATGATAATGCGATGGCTGATCTTGCAATTTCGAATTTCAGATATCTGCAAGGAGATTAGAGATTAGATGTCTAATAGAAAGCATAATTCCCAGTAGTTTATGTTTTTGGCCATGAAGTGAAGCAGAATATTAAATACTTCTAGTTGCATCACTCTGAAAGTCTTACTGCCTTTTCTTAGGTGACCTTTGGTAGTTTGCATCGACTCCTCTTCTGAGGGCTTCTGCTTACTGGTACTTGGCTTCTTCTTTGAACTGTAACTGTGAAAACAGTTTAGTTGGAGAATAAAAATAAAATTAATTGTACTAGTTCAGAAAACTCTACCAGGAAGCATCTTTCCTAAGGCTGAACAATGCTGGTTCAGGTGGATCCAGAATCCTCATGCAAACGTTTGAGCGTTGCAACTGTAGACATTTAGGTGAGCATGCTGTGGCAGAGGGTACAAATGTATGTAGTTGAGGGCAGCAGATGGGACTTGAGCTGAATTGAGCAGTTCTGATGCTTTGTTCCATACGTTGTCTTGTTTGGTTATTTTTGTTGGTGGTGGTGTTCTATTTTTTTTTTCCTTTTAAAGAAAGCTCTTCAAAACCAGAAGCAATTTTTTTTTTTTATTTGGCAGACTTGAGAAATTTTTTTATTTTCACAAACCTTTTTCTGTGCTTTATGCTGAGCAATACTGATGCATAATGGAAAAACAGAAATACAAGAAAAATCACCTTGATTCATAATACTCTGAATCTTGCATTTCCTCGTCACTTTTACTGTTGGAATATTCACATCACCTGTAAATTAATCTGGGTAATAACTTCTTTCATGAAGTAATTCTTCAACAGATGCATTTTGAAACTTCTCATGTTTTTCTTAACCAGCCCAGAAATGTATTCCCTCCCAGCAGGAACCCTTCCCTTCCAGCCACTGCACTGCACAGTCCCTTTGGCTCCCGCCCTCAGGCTCAGATTGTGATCAGTACATACCGAGGCAATCAGTATAGGCATGCAGGCATGCAGCCCCATGGCTGTCTCTTTTGGCGGCTTTCTCACAGACACAAACCTGTTTCAAGTGCTATTCAAAGTGTAATGCTTCTTATGGGGCAATACCCCTTGCCCTCCTTTGGTACTGACTGAAGCACAGTTGGTTCAGTGCAAAGCAGCCTCGGGTGGCACTAAGATTTTGAGTGAGGGAGAAAAAAAAAATTATCCTGTTATCAGAGAGCTTTTTTTTTCAAGTGTTAAACATTATTTCTTTTGTAGGTGTATGTGTGGATCTATGACCCTGTTCACTTTAAAACGTTTGCCATGGGACTTGTTCTTGGTAAGTAAGAGCAGACGTTAGCAAGCAGGCATGTTACCAAACAGGAGTATCTCTCCTTGGAGAAACTTATCTTCTTCCTAGACAAAACTTTTTTTGTTCTGTTTTAGCATGATTTGACAGCAGTCACATTATGTGAAGTTTGATCTTGGGATGCAGGGAGGACAGTTGCAAATAAAATAAAAAATACAGAAGAGGACACAGCTGAGATTTGCATTAGAAAATGTTTGAATTTGCACAAGGTTGCAAGCTGTTCATTTCAGTGACTTTAAACTGTAAGTTGCCCCATAGGTAACTGTTGTGGATTATATACAAATGTGAATATATTAAAGCCATTAGTGAGGTCCCAGCTGATGGTGCTACTAGTCCAGCACCCCGACCTGTACCTGGTACTTTAGCTTTTCACAGCAGAGAACCAGAAGTGTCACCTCCTGGGGCTGCATTCAGCTCTGATCAGTTGGTGGTGCCCAAGGACTGCACCCAGCTCACTCTGCCTGCTTCCTGCTGGGCAGGTTACAGGCAGCTCCCTGCTCGCCTTTTTGCCTTTTCAGAAGTGTTCTCTCTAGTGATCAGGTACTTGCTGCATGTGGTATTATCCTAGGTGTCTGCCTACCCATAATGAAAGGAGCAATGGGACTAGAAAAGATTTCAGTCAAGGCATAAAACAGTATTATCTAACTCATGTGTTGCTAAGCCAGTACCTTGAATAAATGGTAAGCCTGGAAACTTCATATATATGTCGGGAAGAACTAATTATATTTCTCATACTTTTCTTTTTATCTTTCTACTTAGTGATTGCTGTTATAGCTGCAACTCTGTTTCCACTTTGGCCAGCAGAAATGCGTGTTGGTGTCTATTACCTCAGCGTAGGTGCAGGCTGTTTTGTAGCCAGTATTCTTCTTCTTGCCGTTGGTAAGTGTCAGTAACCTTCATTTCTTCAGTAGGTGAAATTTAGAAGAGCAAAAACGTACCATGCACTAAGATGTGCGAATCTCTCCATTACATCTGATTAATTTGTTGTTAGCAACAGCTAGACTGATTCTGTGTCCATATTTCCCAGGTGGCCGCTGGGTGTCAGAGTTGTGCCACAGAAGGAAAGAAATCTCCAGTTTGTGTCACCTATTTGTGTTTCCTGTATAGCAGAGATTTTACTTCCTCAGTTTAAAACCAAACAAAAAAAGAAACCAAGAAGCCCATGCAGAACCAAAGCCAGAGCATAAGAACAGATTCTGGAGTAAGAACGATATAACCAGGGTTTGAAAGCATTAAGAGCTAAATCATAGATGATATATGATTACTGGGGGCAGGGAGAAGGGCTTAGTAACAAAAATGAGAGATTTTCCCAAAGCTTGTTGCTGTTGTGGCTTTGTGTGGATGCTAGCATGACTTACACCAGACATCACTGCATGTTTTGAATGCTACAATAACAAATTTTCAAACTGTTTTAATACAGCTCGTTGCATCCTCTTCCTTATTATCTGGCTCATCACTGGAGGAAGGCATCACTTTTGGTTCCTGCCAAACCTTACAGCAGATGTGGGATTCATTGACTCCTTCAGGCCCCTGTACACACACGAATACAAAGGACCAAAAGCAGACTTAAAGAAAGAGGAAAAATCAGAATCCAAAAAGCAGCAAAAATATGACAGTGAGGAGAAATCAGATAGTGAGAAGAAGGAAGAAGAAGATGGGAAAACAGAAGCAACGAGGAACTCTGGAACGGAAGGCTCAGGAGGAGAGCGGCATTCAGACACAGACAGTGACAGGCGTGAAGATGACAGGTCCCAGCACAGTAGTGGAAATGGAAACGACTTTGAAATGATCACAAAAGAGGAACTTGAACAGCAAACAGATGAAGGGGATTGTGAAGAGGAAGAGGAAGATGACACCGAAAGTAGGCCTGCACACGAGAAGTCATAACTCGCTGTGCTTGTGGGACTAAGTATGTGCAAATGGTTGGATTTTCTTTGTTGGCTGATCACCAAAACATAGACCATACAGTAGCATCTTTGTTTGCTGAAATATACATGTTACCAAACAGTTTTATATCTAGTTCCTTCATTTTTTTTAACCATTAACTTGATTACTTGGTACTATGTTAATCATTAATATACATTTACAGAAGTTTTATCAACCTGACAAGTTTTCTATTGATTAATAGATTGCCCAGATCGTCCTCAAACACTGAAAACCACATCTTTCTGGTACTTGCATAACTGGTCAATTAGTTCTGCTTCTCAAACTTCCTTTTGTAAAACAGGTAAAAGTTGAATGACCAAATCTCAGATTATTCCTAGTTCTACTCATTTGATAGCTAGTTAGATAAAGCCCTTCTTAGCCCACAGCTTTCTTGATGTTTCTTGATTTCCTTTTCAAAAGACTGTGAAAACCTTCCTAAAGAAAAGTAGTTTTAGCAGAAGTATTTTGCTGAAAATATAAAAGCTGGTAGTGCTGAATTTGGCTGCAGTGTTCTCTGTTTCTCCAGACTATGTGCCAGCAACTTAGGAAATCCAAACTGTTTTTGTACATCTGGTTCAGAGAAAGATGTCATCTCCAGCAGGTGGAGGAAACAGCATGGTTTGGAAGTAATGCCTGCTTTCTTTCTCCTGCTCCATCATAATTAAAAAAAAAAAAAAATGTATTCTGTACATAATTTACAAATAAAGCAAACCATTTACTTTATCTGCTACTTATTATTTAGAGATTTGATCCAGCATTCAGTTTGTATTAATAAAGCCATTTTGTGGTGTGTCTATCAGAGAAAATGCAAGTCAAGAGGACCTCACAGAATATTTGTGTATGATCAGTAGCTGTTCCACAAGAGCTTTAGTTTTGTGCCAACATTCCATGTATTTGAGTATGAGTAAATTGATCCTTATTAAATGAAAGCAAACAACATAGCTGTATGTATGCCTTAATGTTAAAACTTTCTATTTTCTGGAACTGGAATACTTTTTAAACAGAAGAGACGGGAGAGTATTCGCTTGTTCAGAAATATAGATAATCAAAGCTAATATGAAGTGATGATAAATAATTTGTTTATAAATATCTTGAAGTAGTTTGTGCAGTTTCTCTTATGCATTCCTTATTTATTGGATATGCTTTATGTTTTGGTTAACTAAACATTTAAGAAGTTAAAACTTGGCATCATTCTCTAGATCACTTAAGCCGAAGCTGTAGATTTCATTGTTTCCTGAACCAGCTCACAGAAGATAATGAAACTAAGATAAGGTTACCCTTAACTCAGCACTTCTTTTCAGTCCTAAATTGCTTCCCCTTCCTTCCATCATTAGGATTTTGGATGAAGATACCTATTTTTGTGCAAACACATTTTAATGGGAGGATTGATAGCTCAGGGACAGGGTGTCACTTGTTCCTTAAATCTAGATATTTGATCTATAAGAAAACAGATAAATTGGACCACTTTTTAAATGAATATAACATCAAAATTAAAGGGCCCATTATAGAAATAGTTTGACTTCTGGACACTTGTATGTTAGAACTAATTAAAATAACAAAGTCCTGTCACCACCTTCGTTACCTTACTGAGTTAACATTATGTGATGGTAAAGGTCTCAGCTAACAGCCATTTCACTCATTTCAGCAGCTATTTTAAGATGCTCTTTATGCTTTGCTAGGTGCTAGTTTTCTTTGTGCTTGCATTTTGCATCCTCACCTCTAGAGCTGAGAATAGAACTGCAGCCCTTTCTGTGCAGCGGTCTTCAGCTGGCTGCCTCTGATTTACAGTACATCTGACCTTAAGAGCAACTCTTACTGGCTGCAGACTGCTAGCTAACTTACTGTTTACCATACAAGAGCAGAATTATAAAGTCTTTTTTCTACTGAAGACGTCCCTGCAGTTCATTTAGTTGGATTCCTGCTGCTGCCATCAGGAGCTGAAAAAAGTTTGGCTGATCTCTTGCATGTGTATCTTTCAGAAGGTGTTTGCACTTAGCATTTCAGAGAGCTCTGCTATGCACTGAACGCTGTAGAACACTGATATGGCAGCACGTCCAGCAGCAGGCAGCTGATTGGCACTTCTTGGAGAAACTAACACAGTAGATGTTAGTTGTTCTCTCATAAAAGTGAAAATATTCTTGTTTTCTACTTGGTGAGAAGACAAAGTTGAATTGGCAAAATAATAAAAACTTAATTTAGTAATATTGCCATGTACTACCTGTTAGGTGGATGTGTGACATGGCAGTGATATCCACCTGCGCCTAGAGACAAGGATCTAGGTTACAAAATGCATGAAAAAATGTGTACTGTCACCTTAAGGGAGTTCCAAACTCACACAGTGTAGAAATTGAATTAACCTGCAGCTCCTTCACTTGATCTGCTGTGAACAACTCTGAATTGCAAAGTAGTAGTAGTGTGAAGGAAGAGACCTTGATGGAGGTGCTCAGTGGTTAAGTAAAGGACTTGATGACCCATTACTGTAACCAAGCATTTTCCACAAACATTCCCCAAATACTTCCAAATTACTTTAGAATGAGATAATGATAGAAGATTACAATATGCTCATAACAAAACTGTGAGTGCGCTTACAAACAAGTCAGAGAAAATCAGAGAGGTACTTACCCAACATGTACCTCCCTGTTGGGCCACTTCTTACATCACTTATTGCAAAGTAAATGTCTTCTTATTGGTACTGCCTTAACTGCCAGCACGTAGGGTGACCATAGCATGTACCCTATGTATAAACACATAGATATGTTATCAGAATGTTATTTAAACAACATTTAAACATTAGTGGCTATTAAAGGACCATTGCAAGGACTAACAAAACATCCATATGCAATAAAATTGTACAGTGGTCTTACTGATTTTAAGCCCAACAATCTATATAGCCAATATAATTCTCTGATTATTTTTCCTTGCAAGAAAATAGGATTACGCTTAGCTCCTGGAGGAATTAAATAATTACTGGCAAAACAGAAAATGGTACTTAATGCAGATCAGTGTTCTGTGGACATTTCACTCAAAAACCATATAGCTGTTTTCTCTGAAATTTGTAAGCATACACATTTTATAAAATCTCTGCATATATATGCACTGCTCATTTATACCCATTTCAGTTTCTGTTTGAAAGCAATACTGAACTTTCACAGAGCAGCATACAGCATGATGATGGCAAGAAAAATGAAGATTGCTTCAATTCTTCAATCAATTGCTAAACTACATTTTAACCAAAACTTATCCTCCTTTGGTTACATCAGGAGAAAGGCTGACAAGCACCTGCCTTGCTTAAAATTAAGCACAGAATATGCAAACATTATATGTAGAAATGTTGAAAATATTGCTGCCTGGCTTAACCCCTTGTTTTCCTTCCTGCAATCACCTGCACATCTCAGCACATAATACACTGTGGAGCTAAGCTGTCTCAGCTTGAAGGGTTACCTTCCAGCTGCTCTGTGAATTTGTCTTCTCTAGTAGGGTCACACAGACAGCAAGGCAACATTCAGACCTCACAGTTGGCATCCGAAGCACCAGGCAATGGAGGAATATCTTCCAAATGCAGCTGTTCTACTGGCAGAAGTTGGACATCCCTGTCAGAATCCACCTTGGATCTGTTGGCAGCCTCAATTCAAGTGAGCTCAGTGTACACAGTAAATCCTTTCCATCTTCCATGCAGCCCTTCCCTGCCCTTTATGTCCCTCATGCAGTTGCTGAGGTGCTTCCCCATCACTATCCTGTGTCACTATCTGTGCAGCAACCACCAACCTAAGCAATTTACCAACTAAAACAAAAGTACCACCTGGAAAAACAACCACTGTGGAAAAGAGAAGCATCAGTACCTACTGTTCTCTTCCATGGAGCTGTCACCACTGTCACCATGAGGACAGACCAGCTCTTTCATCACTGGATGGACCTGGCTGTATGCTGCACAGTCCGGCTCTTCGTAACAGGGCTACCTCCTTCCCCCCAAATTTCCCTTGTTCTAATCCATTCCCCCTATGCTGCTATGCACCGCCATTAGTTGGGGTTAAATACAGGTCTTCAGTCCACCCTAATTTACACACCATCCTCCCTTTCATGGAACAGACCCCTCTGCACGTGGCCTTTTGGGCCAGCCCTGCTGAAGGAGCTCATGGCTTTGGCTCAACTTCTGGAAGGCCCGTATTGCTTTGCTTTCATGTACTCGAGTTTAAATTCTTCACAATAGATCCACAAATACGTAACATCACAGATTATAACCAAATACTTTAAAAGGAACTTGAAGAGAGTGGTATGAAACACTCCAAGGCTCTGCTGCACACTAGGACTGCACTGTAGCTTCTTCACTTCGCACATAAGGAATGGGACAAAACAGCCTTATCAGTGTAAACAAACTCAGGCTGAGCAGCTGCTGAATGTTTTCAATAGACTTCCTGGTAATGGCTGGTACAATTTCATTAGGGCTTCTCGTTTTATTTAATAAAACATTGGATGATTTTATTTGTAGTACAGCAACAGGTGCAGGAAAACAAAAGGCACATTTCCTGATCCGATTGTGTCCACAAAGAGTCCATTACTCACGGGCTGACACAGTGGGCATTCATTTTGCCATGTGTATTTCTTACGTGAAAATAATGATCAGGCAAGAAAAATAAGTGTTTTATGATAAAGGACTTTGGAGATGAGTTAGAGTTAGCAATAGCACAATGCAAATGGTTTCAGTGTAAATTCAAGTGAAGAGCGAGATAAGAGCATTCAGTTGATACAGATCATGCTTTAGATGTAGATTGAAATACATGGTTCAGGTGGTATCCATCATTAATCCTCATCACATAAAACAGAAACCAAACACAAAAAAGCCTGAGCTTATGATCCTAGGGAGTACGATGTAGCCAGGATCCCATGAAGGGTGCAGGTGCACTCCATTTTGGCTCCCCTTCTTAGCTTCTTGTCCCAGTGACCAACCAGACAAGAGCTGGCTTTTACGAAGTACTGCTGCCATGTAACGTAATTTTCAGAGCCTTATACTTCTGTTTTTCTTCCAGTACTCTGAGATACTCTTCATGACAAAGAAAGGTACAGAAAAGACTGCAGTGCCATGATGAGCACTGGGGAAATCATGTCTTTTGCAGTGAGAACATGCTGTGATCAAACAAATCGAAATACTACTTCCAAAACACACATCAAGGCTGGCAACAGCCAGCCAGCCAGAGCCACTTATTCTGACACGCTCATGTCTTCTGAATGGCAATAACATGCACATAGCAGCAACAACAGAAAGAATCTTCCATGCCTTCAAAAATCAAGCAAGAATATTTCTTTTCATCTCTATGCCTTCACTAACAAAGCAGTTTGTTACCTTTACCTGTCTCCTCACTTCTTCAGAGATGCAAAACCTAAGATGAGAAAGAAGGAATGTACATTGCACCTTTAAAAGGCTCTTGAATACATGGAAATATCTTGCAAATGGGACACTGGTGATTTTCTTCATTAAAAAAGAAGCTGTCCCTTAGCACACATTTCTTAGTTAACTCCTTTATTAAAATCTTCATAAACACCCTCCTGTCCTTCTGAGAGGTGGCATTTCAGGAACAGCAAGTGCACAACTGCATGCTCATCAGGTCATTGCAAAACTCAAATTGCTAATCCTGTGCTGACAAATCATGTGATGATTAAGGCATTAAACCTGTTCTGCTAGGTAACACCCAGCTAAAGGCACATCCAGGGAACAGAGAAGGATACAGGAAAGGCTCTATCAGATGGGCACCCATCTCCACATCTCCCACAGCTGGTCTCCTGCTAGCTCTGCTCATGGCTCTCATGTCCATTCAGCACCAAATTAACTCAGAGCCCAAATTTTTGGAGTTTCTCATAATAACTTTTCCAGGAATTAACAGCCTATACCTCTGCCCTCACGTGACAGCAAAGTGCATAAATATACATTTGATCTCCCAGTTCCCGTGTGGCTTGAGGCATCCCAGATATCTAAGACTTCTTGAAATACACAAAGATGAGATGTACATTTCTGCCTTCCTGAATAAAGGGTAAGAAGGCAACCAGGTTTTGAAGAACAACAAAGCCCAGATAGGAAGAACTGCGGAAAAAAATCTGGGGCTGACTACCTAGGAATCATTACCATGATGTGATGAACACAGGTTAGGAAGTTGTGTTTGTTATCTGCATCTGCCCTTGTCTCAAGGGAACCTCCAGACCCCCAGTCAGGTAGTGCTGAGGATGAAACAGATGCAGCAGAAACTCCACTGCAAGGAGAAACTTGTGAGCCATGAAGTGCTGAGCTCTGTCACAGGTGGAGGTAGAGAGCAGAGCACAACACTGTTCCTTGAGAAGGATGCTAGCTGCATTCAGTCTCTCCTCTCTGTTTCTTTCAGAAATGAATCAAGTTAGATTTAAAGTTAAAGCTTTGTCCTGTTTCCTTTCCCATTCTCCTAAAATCCTATGCTCACAGTTAAGTTTAACAACAGAAACCAAACTACGATCAAACAGCAGAAGGAACCAGAACCTGAAGAAGCATCTATGAAAAATTTCTTTCAAGTACAGGGGACACAGAACCCCAACATGACCTTGCAAAGCAACTTTTGCAAGAGGTCAGCTATATCATTTCAAGGACCCACCTTCAATGTTTTCACACAGCTGCAAATACACATTCATTTCTCAGCCTTTCTGTAGTTGTGCACACATGAATGCAGCTGCCTTAATCAAGTAGGATGGGCTCAAGTCGTTATTTAGGAGGACAGCATTTGTCAAGTGCCTGCAAGTTTTCCTGCAGAGTTGTAAACTGAGCAGACACTGAAGATGAACCTGACCTAATTCAACAGCGAGCGCAAAATGAGAAGGAACTGCCAATGAAAAAGCAATGCATTTGGTCTTGATGACATCCATCTTGCATTACAGCCTGCTTGAAAAGTTCTAACGTTAACTTGGGGATGCTGGGTGCAGCAAGGTTATCCCAAAGCACAGAGCACACAAAAGCAGCTGCCAATGCCCCCTTCCAACAAAAGAGAGCTGCACTGCAAGGGTCTCTGTGAGCCTGTGGGCCACACGGAGGCTGCTCAGAAAGCTTGCGGGGCACTGAGCTGACACACGGGACTGTGCTAACATCTTCATCAGCAGAAAAAATTCCAGAGCACCTGAGAGGAAACCGCTCTCAGGAGAGGTCTCACCAGCCACGTGGCACTTTGTACACACAGGCCAAACATGGACAGATTCAGCAAGAAAGGCAATTAAAAATGCTTCCCTCTCAATGGACGCCAAACACACTAAGAATACAGCTGCCTTGATGTTCTGACATCAAGATGCAAGTTAAATTGGGTACCGCATCACATCCAGAACGCTCCCACACATTTAGCTCTCCAAGGCCTGACTATGTCCCAGAAACCACATGTTCTGCCTACGTTTCTGCAGGAATCATCTAACAGATGCCACTGACTCCTGCCAGCACCTCACTGAGGCCGGCTGGGCAGCAGCACCGCTGCTCTCTGATCACCCCAGGACTCACCTCACCACCTCCCACACGGTGACCCGGGCCAGGCAGGTGCCGCAGCTCTGGATGCCATCCTGCACATGGGGCAGGAGCTGCAGCAATGAACTCGCAGCCTCCACGTTTTGTCACTCAGTAGATTTGTCTCCGAGTTACCAAACACATCATAGAAAGAAAAAAAATCCCGGAGTTACAGCTGAAAGCCACAGCCAAGGGAACAGCACAGCCACAGTGGGACATGCGCTGCTCTTATGCTTGCTGCTGGATGATGGGAATTAAAGCAACAAATGGAAAACCAAATTAGTAGGCTGATCTGGAAGAGGAGAAGAGCTGTTATTGCCTTTTTTTTTTTTTTTTTTTTTTAAATTCTATTAAGTAGATTGCTACAGGATGTCCAGGCTAAAAAGCCAACCCATTTAGAAGGCTTCACGCTCTACCTTCAGGATTATCTTCATCATTATCTTTAGACAAACAATAAGCCCTCTCCTAATCTGCTTCCAAACTTTTCTTAATTGCTGAAAGCCTCAAGCGGAGAGAGCCATTTGCAAAGAATCTTTTCGCTCAGACAACGCTTGCAGGACAACATCCCTTCCCGTACGCCGCGCGGTTACGGGGAGGGAGTCCCCCGAGGGCAGACGGGGCCGGGCGGGGTTCCTCCGTCGGGCGGCGGGGCCGCACCCCGACACGCCTCGGCGAAGGGGCGAGCATGGCCGCCGGCTGAGAGGGCCGGGGAAAGTCCCGCCGAGAGGCAGCGCGGAGGCCGGCCGCAGCAGGTGGGTTCTCACGGCCGCCTCCTCGGCTCAGGGAGCGCGGGCGGGAGGCTGCGGGAGCGGGGAGCTCTGTGGGAGCGCGGTTGGGGAGCGCTGAGGAGCGTTACGGACACGCGCGTTACCGGAGCGCGGGACGGCGGCTGTGAGCGGCTGCGTGCCTGCGGGAGGAGGGCAGGCGGCTGTCGGGGCCGCTCCGCGCCCCGCGATCGCTGTGCGGGGACGCCTCGGAGCGCCGAGCCGCTGTGTCGGACGGACCTCAGGCTTTCCTCACGTCCACTTCTACCCGAGCGAGAAGGCAGAAGTGTTGGGCGCCTTACTGCAGATAAAGGGGAAAGGAGAAAACAAGCAAAGCCGCAGAGCAGCAGAGCGAAGAGTGCTTTGCTTTCGTCTGCGGTTGTAAGGGCTGTGGAAACACCAGCCGCACCATCCTGTTTCTTCAGCAAAGAGAGAAGAAGCCATGCCTAGCTGTTGCTCATATGCTGCCGTCCTGCTCGTGACTGCCCTGCCATCCCTGCCCGCTTGCATTCGTTTAGAGAATTAACAGATGGAAAGAGCTGTTACAAGGAAACTTCTGCCAACTTCCAGGGGAAGAGCAGCAATGGCAGGTGTGTAGTGCTGTAGCACCACGCTGCTGCAGGAGTGCACAGAAAGCCCCAGCCAACGGACACAGCTTGTTTACATGGGATCGGCACAGTTGTTAGATTTCAGCGACCAAGAAAAGGATGTGTTGGTTTGCTGCCTTTCTGCTTTGGGGATATTCCCACAGTCTCAGTTCCACGTGGATTCTGTGAGCAAAGTGGGGGACCATAATGTAACACATCCCATGTGTTGCACAATTTCTATCCTGTGTGGTTATGAAGGAGCTCTGAAGTATCCATCCCTCTGCCCAGCCTGGCAGAAAGACCACCATGCTTCCTATGAGGAAGAAACACCATCAACCTTATTGCAAAACCTTTCATTAGGAAAGTAGCTAGAAAAATAAGTTTACACTGATCTTTTAACTCCCAAGAGAATATAATTTGAGGAATATTAGGCGCTTCTTGACAGTTTAATCATTTGAAGCTTTTTACCCTTACTTCAGGAACCTGGAGAATTCAGGTGTAGCTTTGGTAGTAGCTGCGATACGGAACGACTCATTGGAAGAGCTGCCACAGAAATGAATGTCTACAAACGTTTTTTTCTTTGCAGATATGAAGCCCTGTGCCCTGTGATACTTGTTGTGTTGCTTCTTACCGTTGGAGGATGGCTGCTTTACTCTGTGAGAATTGCTCTAGTCGGTTCCACCAGCCCCAGCTCAACCAGCCCCTGGAGATCAGCTGCATGCTGCTTCTGGTCATGTTTGGAAAAGTGTGTCTGGATTTCTTCATGCTGCAAATTAAGCACAAGAAAGTGAAAGTTAGTTTTATGGGATATTTTTGTGTCTCTCTGGCACTTCTTGATTTCATACTGCTGCTGAATATAGCTGTCATCCTCTATTTGGAGGACTTTGCACTCTGGGGTGTCAGATTTACTAAGTACCACATCTGCCTGTTTACTCAGATCATTTCTCTTACTTACGGTACTTTGCATTACCCAGTGTATCTCGTGGCAGGTCTGGATTATTACATGACTATAGCCCAAACCTCTCAATTCCCCCGAAGAAGTCGAAGATTATTTTACATTTTTGTTGTGGTTTTTATATGGATCTCAGGTTTTTTTTGTATTCTGAAAGTTCCTGCCATCTATGAAGAACTAGAAATTCGGAACCATTTCTCTCCTTATCAGTGTCCCCTCTATGTCAGTGTGCAGAGCTACTCGGTCTCAGTTGCCATGCTGGTTCTCATAGGCATGGCTCTCATGGTTTGCTGGAAGGAAATGATCACTATGCTGCTGTCTATGAGGGTAGCCTCCTTTGCCAGCCAGCCTGTCCTGATGTTCTCCTATGTGTCCAGCAACAACAGCACTTGTTTCAAGCGGCAGCTTCTGACCAGACTCCTCATCTGTTTTCTTGGCACTTGGGCACCTTTTGTTCTTCTCCAGTTTATCATCTTGTTTCTTGGTGCTTGGATTCCAGCCTACATGGAGATGAACGTCCCTTGGCTGTACTTCATCAACAGCTTTCTTATTGCAGTAGCATACTGGTGTCGATGTCATGACATTGAATTGACAGAGGAGATGTGGTCTACAGATCCATTTGTCAGCTGGAAATTCTGCTTTATGCCATTTAACAGTGAAAACATAGAGCCAGCTGAAAAGTCAGGCACAGTAATTGTCATCTGTTAACGAGCTGCTGACTGAGAAAACTGCTAGGGCTGTGTGTGCTTGGATGTTCTGTGACCACGTCCTTACAGATAATACAAGGAAGCATCTCCAGATCTACAATCCACAGGAAGAAAAATCCAACATTCATGAGTACAGAAAGGAATAGTGCACCAGAATGTGGGACACTGCATACTTCTGCACTGGGCTTTATTTCCATTTCAGAGTATTTAAGAGAAGACCACTGTTTACATAAAATAAGTTCTTGGTTAAAGCTGGTGTTTATTACTACAATTTTACAGTTGTTTTAAATTGAATGATCTCAGGTTTTATAGTATAAAATTCATCAGCCTTTAATAGGCTGAAGCCTTTTATTATCAGTTACATTGAGGTGACCTACTGTCAAGTTCAAACTGCTGTGGTTGTTTGTTTTTGTTTTAAGTGTATTTTCTTGTTAAACATTTTGTTAGTTTATGGGGGGGGTTGCATGGTTAATGAGGAATACATTGTTTTAGTTAAAGCTATACCTCCTACAGAAATATAAACTTTGTTTACGGAAACTGTTGCAAGATGTATACTGTCACAACTACAAGAAAGGCAGTGTTTCATTATTTCCTTGTTTGTGTTCCTCTAAGATATGTATGTGCACATTAAAAACTAATTAATTACAGTCACAGCAATAAGAGCTTTAATGCAAAAGAAATACAAACATGCTTAATATGAACAGTTGGACTAGACCCCCAATGCTAAGCAGATGTGTCTACTCTTACAAGGTTACGTGAGTACATGCCAAAGGGTAAAGGATGGGTTGGACTAGAATAGAATCTATGTTGGAGCCAAAATCACACTGACATTAAAGTAGTTAAATTTGCTAAAGTGTGCCCTACTGCAGTAAGGGAAAACCTGTTCAGACTTCCAAAGTATTTCATTAGTTTTCAAGTTCTTACAGCTTGAGAAAGCTCTTAAATTTACAGGGGGATAGATAAATAAGTGATCCACAAACCAAGCAGACAAATGGAAGTAGTATTTATTTCTGAAGCATTGAACTCACAGTACAATATTGTATTGAAGTAGAAACTATATAAGTAAATTATGTTGTAGGTTGGTTAATCATTCACTCAGACCCACAGGGAACAATGGTATCACATAAGAATACGAAAGAAAAATCTGCAGATAACCAAAGGTGCAATTACAAGCAAATTTAAGCAGCATAGTATAAGGTGCTTTGTTTCAGCATTTGTATAATCAGTTTAAACATTAACAGACAGATTAAAGAAATCTCACTTCTATCGATGATAACAAATGGGAGAATCTAAAATTCATTCACGTGCTAACTGGTAATAGGAAAGTGCTTTAAAAATGATTCACAAGGTGAAGATCATCTGTTTTACATAGTTCACTGTGCTCTTCAACTGTAGAATTTAATTTTGGGGCTACCAGTTACATTATTATGTATTAATTATAGACAAGATTTAATTGCAGGATTTAGTGATACACCAGCAATACATGTGCTAGAATTTATTATAAAATAATATTCTAGTATTTCGCTCCATGATAGGAATTCACAATCAAATATCATCTATTAAAGCTTATATTTCTGCAATGTATCGAAGTCCAATTATCATTTTACTGCTTTACCCCACACAGCGCTTCTTGCACCATTCACTAGGGGTCAGCTTCTTTGAGGTTTCAATGACATAACCAAAAGGACAGCATTTTTAAAGCAGCAGAAAATGGTTTCTGGAAAATCCGATAAAAAGGCCATAAAAAAAACCCCCAAAACAGTAAAGGATAAAAACCTAAGTTTTAAAACTAGTGTAATAAGAGGCAGCAATGTTTGCAGCAAACAAAGTTTGAGGAGTTTGGCATTACAAAGTGTTTCATCATTTATGCAGGATGATGTATTTGGAGGAAATCCTATTTCCACGTTAGAAGGAGGGAAGCATGTAAAATAAAAGAGCCTTAAGGAATCGCTCCCTGCCCCAGTTTCCAGTCACTTCCAGCTAGCATTTGATGTGCTATAGGATAAAGTATGCCTAAACATTTCTTTCAGGTTTTACATAAACTGGACGCCCACTGAAAGGGACTTGACAAAATACCAACAAAACCTAGCTCCAAATGTAGTAATGCACCAGGCATTTCAGAAGGTCATGAAGTAACTTATTTGTACCGACTCAGCCAGCAAGGGAAAATATCTCATTTTAAATTCACTTAAAACCAGATGAAGGCAAGATTATTTCAGTAACGTACATTTCAGATCCCTTTTGTGTGGTTAGCCTCACCCATCTGATTCACTAATGCAGACAGAACTGGAATGGCAAGAAGCTGGGTAAGGTTCAGACATAGTTATCAGATTCTCAACTTGTAATTAAAGTTTACAAATCCTCATCTATTCTGATGCTGCAGAATGCCCTCAGTTGTTGCACTGCTTCTAAAGCCATTTAAAGTTTTTAAGACTGTATTTTTACAGGGAAACTACAACACACAGGCAAATCAGTTATTAATGTACTGATGTTACATAAATGAGTTACCAAAGAACTCTCTTTCATACTCTTTGAGAGAAAATGTCAAAGAGGATCAATCTGCAGGCTGCCATTTATAGCCACCACATAGGTAACAGCAGCACTATGGGTCTACACAGAGCCCAACTGTGGTGTCTAAGCCTACTGATGAGTAACTGACTTAAAAGAGATGAATAGCATCTCATTTTAAGCCCGTTTTTATCTTTGACATTTTATGGAGGGAAATACCTGATCCAGTTGTGATCTCATCCTATTATCCTCCTAACAGCCTCTTTTCCACTCTTGGTGCACTTCCTTTTATCTGGTGCTTCTGGGAAGTCTGAACACTGGACCTTGAGTCAAGCAATATAACCAAACACCATTACTCTGCAGAACAGGATTACAGTTTCACTGCAAGCCTGAAAGAGGAGAAGCTATGTTAGGAAGGTGATAAGACCTGAAATAATATGAATGACAGACAACCACTAAACTCTATACGTCACTACTTGCGTTGTGACAGCAACTAATGAGTTTATACCACACAAACGTTTTACACTCCTTCAATTCTTATAGGATTATATAATATTACTGATAACAGTGGGTAAAGTATTAACACTTTATGAGAAACTTCTGTACTTTGCTCATACCAGAGTCCCTTAAAAATCAACATTGATTTTAGTGAGCTATTCTATCTCTTTCATGAAATTATTTGGCACTTATCAATAAAAACCATCTTTACGCGTCTCTCTTGATCAGCACTGGTTTGCTAAGACTACAAAACATGGAGAGTACTTGAAAGGGAAGCTGGCTTTGCAGAATGTTTCACTGGTTTCTCAACCATACAGCTTGCAAAAAAAAAAACTACCGGAGGATGTCAACATTCCAGCTGCTAAAATACTGACCAGGTAGTGGAGGACAGCACAAGTGCTCCCACACACGGACAGGACTTCACCCACAGAACAGCTGTGTCATAAATTAGTTGTATTTGTTCTTCTAGTGCAGTTCCATTATCAGTAAGGACACCCTCCATCAGAATCCATGATCAATAACTTCAAGCCTCTCAACAACCCTATGTAAAAAGTGCTTTTTACACAAAACTAAAGTACTCCTTAAATATTACGTATTGCATTCAAAGCAGTATTTGTGATCACCACTCTACAAATGTACATTTGTGCTCAAATTATAGTAAGACAGAAAAAGCTCAGAGAACATCTTTCTAGACCCTTACCTTAGATCAACGGCTGCAAAAGTCACACTGTAAGCCTACTACATATCTCCTACCACAAGAATATTCACACCTTTAATTTTTTTCTGTCCACTTAGCTGTAAGAGACCAGTTAGCAATAGATATAACCTCCAAGTGGACAAGCATCCGTGCATCAGGCATAACACAGAGATAACACAAACCTACACAGCAGCTTAGGATGGGGCCTTCAATATATGTGAAAGTGCTGACCATGAGACCCAGGAGACAAGCACAACACAAAATCCTCCAGCCAACACAGCTGAGACCCAAAAGTGCAAAAAGCACATTCATAAATCTATGAACGGAGAAGAAATGGTACATGAAAGAGCTCCTCCATGTTTAGCTTTGTCCTTCCCTGTTCCACCAGCATTAACAGAAGCCGTGTATTTAAAACAAAACACATTAATGTGATCGTTTCTCTCCATCTCTAGTAAACTAAGTTTGGGAAAAGCTGGGAAAAAAATAAAAGCATCCTAGAAGGATTCTTTTGCAGAGTCATTTTCTGCATCCTAGAACAACTGACAAGAACCAGAAATCTGGTTAGATGACTCTATACCTAAATGTATGCTAACTCTCTATGCCATACTGGTAAGAGAAAATAACCCTGCAAGCTTGTATATACCTGATTTTAACATGAATAGCCTCAATCAAATCAGCAGAACTAATTGTATTATAAATTATGTGGATGCTTATTTATTTGTAAAACTCAGACTCACAGCTCAGCTGTCACCACATTTTTTGATGGCCTAGAGCTATACAGTTGTTAACGTGTAAGAAATCTCTTAAGCTATTATTGAGCTGTAAGTTTCTGCACTGAGATTGTGATGAGAGCAGTCATCTGTAACAGGCAGCAAGTGGAACAGTATGTCATGCAGCAGCATGCTACAAATCTCCATACTACACAAACTTCTGCTCAAACTACAGTTAAGCAATACCTGAAAATTTCCTTACAGCTAAGATCAAGATAAAGCAGCAATCCAAGGCTATTATAAATCTGCTCAAATACTTATTGGTTCACATTTCTTTCCTCTTGTTGCCACATCTGCTGTGATGAAGGACTCCTGTGCTATCCAAAAGGCTGGATTCTGAACTGTGGCTTATTCAAGAAGTTACTGGAGGAAAAAACCACGTTTGCAGGGAAGAAATGAGGAAATGGATGCTTGCAGGACATCAGATTGAGTAATCATACTGACTGAAGTGTAACAAAGGCTTTACCCACCATCTTTTCTGAAAAAATGACAAGAATTAATGAATATAATGGATTTACAATGTAGTCTGTTTAAAAACTCTCATTCTTGTGATCCAATCCAACCGAGTTTAAATTACCAAGATGATTTTTTAATTCTCTATATAAGCAAAGTGATAAAAATCTTACAAATATGCCAAGTGTGAGGCACGGGCCACTGTTTGCTGGGAGAAACTGGCAGTTCACTGGCAAGCCTCAAGGTGAACAAGCAGCAGCCTTAAGCTCCCAGAGCACTCAAGTCACTGAAGTGGCTGAGCTTCCTCACTAGAGCACTCTGTTCCTATTAAAAAAGAAGGGCTGCTGAGTGATAGGAACCAGATGACATGGGGCAATCTGCATACCCATTTCAACCATTCAGGTGCATTTCTTTGAATCTGAGACAAGTGTAATTGTTGTAATTCTATTGGAAGAAATCCTGATAGTCAGGTTCAGTTCAGTGCTCTGAGAAAGCTGCCCTGAGCTAATGCTGCACTTTCAATTAGCAAGTAAAATAGGATGGAAGCTGATGGAGAAAAAGGGAAAAAACCACCCAACACATCTCCACTTCAAGCTAAGATCCTACAGCAACCTGCATTCATTTTCATACAGGAACTGAAATATAGCAGGAATAACTGTGAGACACAGCCCACAACAGCAATCTGAACACAGAATACAAAGTCCCATGAAATAAAACAAATGAAAAGGATTTGTAGCATACACATCTGGTGTGATGGGAGCATCTTAAAAAAATCAGTTAAAATCAGCAAGATTTTCACTTCTGAAAGTGGGTTGAACTTAATTTGTGGGGAAAGCTATGCAAAATGGTATCACAAGCCTGGGAAAATCTCTCTGACCTGAACAGAAATGGAAGCAGTTGATATGCAAAGCTGTTCTAGAGGAATATTATTCCAAGTATTTTATTGTTCTTTTGAGTAAATTCCAAAGTTTCTGAAATACTTTAGTTGCACTTCAAAGTTTTTGTGTACAGGCATGATTTTTTTAAAAACAGATTTTAATGACACAGCAATACTGGCAAACTCTGATATGGGCACTGCTCTATCAGGGTAGGTTATTATAGCTGTATCTGATTTGAAGTCCTAATGTGAAAATAGTTGAACAAAAAACCTTCCAATATGCATAAGGCCCACATCCTTAGTTGCATTCATGAATACTTAAAGCATAGCTCATTATCTATGGCTCTCCCAAAACCACAGAAAACGTAGTGCACCAGAAGAACCAGAGCAGACGTGCATTCATCATGTCTGCAGTGGGCTCCTAGCATCTGTCAGTGATTAGCAAGAGTTGTGCATGAACACTAGCTGCAGTTCTCCTGGAAGCTGTCTCATAAAACAAAAATTAAAACAATCGTGGAATTCTCATGCACATAACGTGATTAACTGCAGGTTTAAATAAGACTCACAACATAAGTCCACATTTTTAAATATGCCTTAAGCAACTATCAGTTCACACTGAAGTACACCTACTTTTTACACTGCCAAAGAACAGTACAATCAGAAGACAGGTTAAAAGTTAGCCAGTGACATTTTTGTATAAAAATAATAAAACTTTTAGACAGAAGCCAAAAGATAAATATCTAAGATATCTTCAGTCTTCAATTAGCTCATTAAAACAGAACGTATTCTTTAAAACTTATGTTACAAATATGCTACATGGTGTATCTTACAGAAATGCTACAGATGGGAACCTACTGCCTCCATCATTTGAGAATCTTTCAAATGAACATTGCCAAACACTGAACCTTCACAATTAAGTTTATTTCACAACAGTAACTGAAGACAGAAAAAAACTCTAACAAATTAGAAAGTGCTTAGCAACTTCCCTCCAAACAAAACCAACCCAGACATCAATTAATTCTCCAAAGCCTTTAGTGCCATTTGGATTAGGGCTCTCACCACAAATTAGCATGTAACAGCAATGGGTTGTCCTAACTTGGAGTTTCGGCTGTTGATAAAAATTAATAACATCTGCTATCAGAAAGCTCAAGGGGTTGTAATTAAAAGAATCGATTCTGACATTGATCTCTGAAACATAATGGTAGAAGCTCTCTTAAAAGAATGAAAAAATATCTAATTAAAGGAAAACAAAGCAGAACTTTTTCTGCAATCCTAATGGACTCTTTAAGGTCATCAGTTCAATACTACACATATTAGTCTAACTGTCAAAACCTTCCTTTCAGCCAGTGTAAGTGCATTTACCCCTTTTGATCTAGGTCAGCAGTTCTCAAATTTTAGATCAGTTTTTCTTTTCAGGAATACTTAGGGAAATATTTAGGCAGACCCTACACACTCATGTATTATGCATCAATTTGCATAAAATATAAAATACATCATTTGCAGACACATAGACATATTCCAATATATACACAGTAACTCTATCAGCACACACGCCCTTCCTTCCCTCTAGGAGAGCTTAGGGAGCTAGGCCTGTACATAAGGGGAGTGGAGCTGCAAGAGGAAAGGAACACAGGGTGCAAAGTTTCTCTAAGAGCTTCTTTACACAGGTAACAGGGAAGCAAAGATTGAGAAGGTGCTGCTGCCTCAGAGCCCATCTCTGAGGGTGTCAGTAAGTGGGGAAACATTTGTTCCACATAAAACACAAGAGAGAGAAGAGAGACACTGATCCCACTGCCTGTGTCTGCAGCATTCAAGCAAAAAACTCCTGCCAGAAGCACAAACAGGGCCCTAGAGATTTCTCCCAGTGCTGCCTAGAAAGGGCACACTCCTCCTGCTCACTTACAGCTCTAGGCTTCTTCCACTGCCATGGCAGCTGCTCCTACACAGATTTCCTCATCATGTTCCTTCCTCAGGCTACAGCAAGCCCAGCTCACACTAGTCAGTGGACAAAGAGGTGCTTGGAAGCTTCCAGTGAGGCAATGGGAATGCACTACAAGGAAAGACAAGTTAGAAGACGAAATGGTAACAAGAGGCTGTGAGTTATGCTGTCCCTTCTCTCTAACTCCAGTCTTTAGGATAGACTTCTCTCAGCTTAAGTTGCAGCCAGAACTAACTAAACCACTCATGCCTAGGCACTGGGAACCTGACCTGAGTGTTCTCACACCAGGATCTGCATTTGAGAACTGCTGGTCTAGTTTAACTAGCAGCATGCAGAACTAGAAGCCTAACATCTTAATGCCCTCTTAGTGCACAGCAGCATACAAGGAGTAAAGTAATATATGTGCTTCAGTTAGCTCTGGCAAGAGTGTAATGCCATTGCATTTCAGTAGCCTGATAATTAGGACTTGAATGAGATGCCTACATGGCTTATAGTATTCCCAAACAAAGAAAATACTACAGTGGCAGAGATGAAGGTAAGTCTATACAAGGAAAACAGGCTGCCAACCTACTCCATACAAATAATTTGCCCAAGACTAAAAGAAATTCGGAGAGCACAACTAAATGCATAGCATTTTACCATTATTAGTGCTTCCACAGGGTCTGTGGACTCTTCTGTTATTTCAGTCCAAAAACTGCTGTATGTGGGAAAAGTCATAATTGACAATACAGCAAGAAAATGTAAATGGTGTTTAGGTTATGAGGGTGTTGGGGTGTTGATCTTGAACTTACAAATACAAACCGGGAAATATTTAACAGAATATTAACAGAATATTTCACTTCATGTTTTCCCATGAACTCCCAGTTTAACTCAATGCATTATTTGGGCTTTAACATGAACTTATTAATGCTGGAAACTGCAAAGGACTACATGATATCAGCAGCAGAATATTTTCTTTTTTTTTTTTTCAAGTCTGTGGGGGGAAAACCCCAGATGTTCAACAAAACATCACAGTAACACTCATGCCATGCTGAAGTCATTGGCATATTTCTGCTCGTTTAGTCACAGAGTAGCCGTTGCTTAAACCTCCACGTTCACCCCCTACGATTCTTTCAATGAATTGATACGTGCACAGATTTTTAATGCAGGTCCAAGCTTAATATTCATTGCACTCATAAGGTGATCTTCCTTCAACAAGAGGAGAGCTTGTCCATCAATTTCTTGTGCTCTAAATTCATCCGCAATATCTTGACAACCTAAAGGGAACAGAAAAAGAATTGCTGGGTTAGAAATGTGCATTCCTAGACACAGTGACAGTCCATACTTGAGCTTTACAGTTACACAATTCCAAGAGCTTACCTCCTTACCTTGTGGAACCCACAGTATATGAAAGAGCTCAATAACGACGAGAATTTCTAAGATTATAAGAAAGCCATATTTACTACAGTACCTAATTACACCATAACTACTTATGAATTACTTACTGGAAAGTTCGAGTCTTAGCACAGAATTTTCTCATTTCATTAAGAAAAACAGTTGCCATGGTCTTGCAATAGGAAGAAACAGATGATATCACAAAAACAGCCACCATTCACATGGATTTGTTCAAACAATAAAAAGATGTGCTTATTCTACTGTTAGCTACATCTCAAAGAGAAAATTCACTTACCTACATTTTCCAAACGATGCTAACTCCATTGAGATAAACAAACAATTTTGATTTGCAGGCTTTAGCACAACTATCTCACTAGTACGTTTATCAATAGTTCATTTATCATCAAGCACAACTTTAAGTTGGTTGAATTTTTTCTTTAAATGGTAAACTCCTTCTGAACACAAAGTATCAACATAATAAATGGAGCTGGACTGGACTGTTCAAAGGAGCTGAAGGTCGCTTTCCATTGAACAACACTATGGAAACAAAAAGTTGCTCAAGAGCTGCCCTGTCTGCACCTCTGTTAAAACAGACAAACATCTAAATAAAGTGCATAAGAGCACTCATCATCCATTGTTTATTTGAAGCTTTATTTGCCACAGCCACACATTTCCTGGTTTCAATACCTTCATGTTTCTCAGTCCAATGGTTCTTCCATACATCTCAAGCCTTTCATACACTTTAGTTTAGGCTCCACTTTCCATTCCTGTTTTCAGTTATTCCTCAACAAAGGCATTTTGGTTTTCTTTGTTTTTAGGGGTTTTTCTTCAGCATTTTTTGGAAGAACTTTTCCACCCCAGACAAGAGCAATCATCATACAGGTTTGCTGACAACCCACAAAGCCTCTGTAGGCTAAGTATTTCCTGTGATAGGTATTGTGTTTTGTCTAATGTGAGACTAGAACACGGTGATTGTCAGGACACACCATTTACAGGAGAAGCTTTTATATTTAGGAACAAAAGTGGTCCTAGAAAACAAAATATTTGTTTTCATTTGAGGCCTTTTTAAGCAGGACTTGCTCTATGCACTTGCTTTTCTTTAAAAACCCACAGTCTTTCCTCAAAGTCACTTTGGAAAAAAACAAAAAATGGAAGTTGAATGCACTTCAGTAGCCCTCCAAGCAGACCTGGGTGTTTTTGCAATTGGTTGTGCAGTTACTTTACAAGAAAGGGGAGACGCGCAAGAGAACATTAACCTTGCAACTACTGAAAGAAGGAAGGAGCAGCTCTGCTGGAGCTCAAACTGTTGCTGGCTCTTTCACTGGGAGGAAGTCACAGTAGAACCGTCCTGCTATCTACATTCTTCCAAGACTCCAGAGGCATTCAGAATTCTGATGAGGACACTTGATGCTAAAGCTAGAACTCAGCTTACAGACTGAAAACAAACAGGAAATTAAAATGGATGTCCCTAACATTTGAGATAGAGAAGCTGACAGAATAAAACTCCAAAGTGCCAAAATACGAATGTAGCTACGTAACAAAAAATTCTGGCAGGCTGTGAATATTTTAAGTTTTTTTTTTTGTTTTTTTTTTTAAAGAGGAACTAGATCTTAGTGTGGATAGAGATTAGTAACTATGCATACATAAAAAAAAATCAAGTGTTAAAATTCAATGATTAACTCACTTGCAGAACAAATAGAAAAGATTCAGCAGCCGATGAAATATTCCATTATTGTTTCAAAACAGTAACCACATTTAAAGATAATATTTTTGTTTTCATACTTGCAAATGAGTTGTGATTATAATGTATTACATTTTTAAGAACACAAGCAATCCTTTATTCTTTCATAGAACCTAGAATCAGGGGGGGCTCTGGAGTTAACTGGAGCTTCCAAAGTATAAAACCAGTAAAATACAGACAGCAGCAATGCCATCATACCCCAGTAACACCAGTAGAACACAGAAATACATTGCCTTAAGCCTAAGGAACTTCACTTGTTTCTACAGACATCACAAAAGTTCCCAAGATGCAGATAACATACCTTAATTGTAATTTATAAACCATCAGAAGAAGGGTTGATTTAAAACATCTCTAATTCAATTTTTTGTGTGACCTATATTAAAAATAGTAACTGGCCATACACATGCATGCATTTCAGCAAATAAGGATACACTTCTTGCAGGTTATTAGTCTAATGGGATACACAGCAAAATGGTTCAGCATTCCAGAAAATAGTAGAAAATTAGGAAAAAGTCTAAGCTAGGTTTCAATGTTTAGACATGTGAGTTGTATGGGTAAACAACAAAGATTCTCAGATGACTTATTATGGAGACCTATCTTGTCTACTGGAAGGGTTACAATATCAGATCAGACAGAATGGCATTCCTGGGAAGGGGTGGGGTGTAAAGCTTTAAGGCTTATGTGCCAAATAACCTGAAGATGATAAAAAGACAAGCATGAATACTGAGCTAAGGAAAACTGTGCATAAATAAGGAGAAACATGATGTTTTTCTGAGACTTGGATACTACCTTTTCCCTCTTCTAGCAAAAGAGTATATCATTTATATAAGGAATTCTCCATTTCAGCAAAACAAAACAAAAAATTTAGCTTTACCGAAGAAACCTGGTTATTCTTTTTTAGTGATTTATATCATGATAAGCCTTTCAAATTTTTCACTCGCATAAAAGGAAAGGACTCCCTTCTTGCTTTTTCTACTGAATAAGCAGTAAGGAGGGAAGTGAAGAAATAAACGTTAAGGGGAAGAAGCGTGTCTGATCTCTCTACTGACCTCTTGAGAGAAATCAGACTGAAGGGAAGAACACCTCTAGTCTCCATCAGCTGGGGTGCAACAGCAGAAGTGGGACTAGTTCTATCAACACGGGATTTGTGCTGAAGGAACAAGCAAGAGGAAACAAATCACATTCCAGTCTCTATCACCAACTAATGAGAACACTCGTGCTGTTACCATACCACCTTCTCCTCGGAGCGATGCTAAAAACCAGGAGATTTACTGTTAAAAATCTGCAACAAGTAACTGCACATTACATACCAGGCAAAGAATGTATAAAGGCCCAAACTTCATCAACAGTCCATACCGAAGGGTCTGACTGCACCACTGGTAACAAGTTAATGCTCTCTGGCATTTTCCTAATTCTTAGCTCCCTTAGTTCACGTTCTCTCTCTCTCTCACTCTGTCTTCTCAGACGGGTGGTCATTGCAGTTGGAACAGCATCTTCATGAGAAGCCATATCTTCTTCTGCAGACGGATAAGTAATTGGAAGCTGGAAAATACAGTACAGATACACTACACTATTATATTTCATTTGCAATTCCCAAAACAATGCCATAGTTTTAAGCAAATATTCCACAGACCTGTCTAAGAAAATGATCTCGTGGTGCCCCATCAGGGCCACTCGGTCGACGCCCGCGTCGCCCAAGACTTTGGCTATCTGATTTCCGATTCCAACGATTGGTCTTGTCTGATGCAAACAGCCCAAATTTCTTAGTGCAACTAAGGCTGTGCCTAAAGGAGTAAGATATATTCAATAATGCACTAATAGTTTTTTGGACTGAATTCAATCGACTTAGCAAGAAAATGACATCGTTGTCTACAGAAATGCTGCCTAATTCCAGACAACAGCAGGTGTCACAAATGTAAGAAAGAAAAGGCCATGTACTCTAACCCCTTGCCTTGAAACAAGATCATATACTTCTAGATAAACCCCAACTGACACTCATCCTTCCTGTTTTTAAAAAAATCCCATGATAAAAACAGTTTTGCATTTTATCACATACTCAAATTCTACTTCTCTAACACATCCTCTGAGAGCTTAGCACCATGTTACATCTTTTGCTTTCATTTTCTCTACCTAGCTGACAGCCAGCCAAAATGAAGATAGAGGAAAAAAGCCCAACTCCCTCCTGAATATAATTTCAATACTAGTCCCAACAACTACTAAAGAAAATATGTATATTTCCACTGCTTAAAATGGGAATGTCTGAGGGAGAGTATGAAAAGAGCAGCTGACATAAGAGAAAGGTGGTTTTGAAGCACATCAACACAGAATTAAGAGGAACTTAAATCTATTCCTCAGAGAACTATTCCCCATTTCTAAAACATCTGAGATTAAATACCAATCTACCATCTACAATGATGAAAGGATTTGCATTCAGATCTTGATTACAACTTGTTTCTCACTTGATCTACACATAATAAAAAAGTACAGTAACTCAAAGAGAAAGAGAAACCAACATTCATTTGCCTTTGCCAACAACGTAAAAGCACACACCAGCATCATTTTCAAGAAAGGATTAAATTATTTACATTTATAACTATTACTTTTCTGCTCCACACAAACAATGAATTTTACACCATTACTAAAAACATTTAAGAACATTTCTGATAAATGCATTTCAATCACATGAAGTTCAGTGTTTTTCCCCCCACACTGCATAAAACCATAAGAAAGCCCACAGACTAGTGTTCTGTCTTGACACTGCCCAACAGCAAAATACATCACAAAGATACAGTGACTTGTGGCCCACAAACTACTGTTTAAGTTCCCAAATCTAACCAACCTTTCACAAATATCCATCAGCATTCCTACAAACCTAACTGCATTCACTACATCCTCTGAAAGAGCTCCACAATTTACCTGTAAGTTTTGTAAGTTTATCTTTCTGAAATACATTACATGCTACCATGGTATCCCACATAGTCTGCTTTTTAATTTTTCTACATAAGACACTATTTGAGTGCTACACCATTAATCAGATAACAAATAACAGACAGAATACCTTTTAGCACAGGATGTAGAACAGAATCGTTTTGATCGTAGAAACTTGTCAGGATATCCCATTTTTCCACAAAATTCACACTTCAGGAGTTCATTTTCAATTTCATCCAGGCCCTCTAAAGGAAGGAGTGATACAGAAAGAGATCAGATTTAATTTGACAAAATTGTGTTCAAATTTTTCTTTTCTTATGCAGAAATGCAGAAGGTCTAAAAATACATCTAATAATTAAGAACTTCGATTAACAGAGAATTATGTCAAATTAAGAAAATCATGGATTTCACTCTCCATAAAAGAGAACTCAAGTAAGCTGACCATAGATTAAATTATTCAGTGAAGTTAGTCAGCACTGTTTGTTAAATTTCAAACCACCCATGAACAAGTATGCCCTCAGACACATCCATCAATTAAAAAAATCCAACACATTACAGTTCTTACAAATTGTTTTAAAAGCATTCGTTAGAACCACACACTCCAAATTCAAGCTCTCTTTTAATGAAATGCTGCATTAAACCTGTAAATACTTTATTTGAATAAGCAACAGCTACAACCAAAAGGAGCACTTACAAAAGCAAATAATGCATTCAATTTTATCCATTACAAAGATAATGTGCATACAAGGAAGAAAAGGATTATAGCATCTATATCAGTTTAAAATCTGCAGTGACAGGGTATTTTTTATTATACTGTTGAGATGAGCAAGTGCTTCTCCTGCTCCCTGGGAAGCACTCAAACTGCTGAGGGAAGCATTAGTAAAAGGAGACCTAGGAAAGCCCTGATGTGAGGCATATGCTGCCTTGCACTGACATGCTGAACGCCTACACCCTCTTCCACTGAGAGAGCACAGCTGATACATGCTTTAGAGGAATGCCACCATCTCTGCAAACAGATTTGATTTTTGGCAGGAGAAAAAAAATCAAAAACCACAAACTTGCATCTATGCAATAAGTCAATGAAATACATCATTAGGAGCAAAACTGGCACAAACTGAAATACAACATTTTCATCTACCAAAGTAAAGGAACAGTGTGCCACATGGATGCAATCAAGGACAAAATACATTTGTTTAAAAATTCAGTGAGCAAAACAGATTTCTTCCCCATTTCTCATTTACCTATACAAATTTCACATAGTTTGCCTTTTGCTATGCATTTTCTACATTTTTATTTTTTTACATGATTTTACATGATTAGTTGCAAAAATGCAACTATTTTTTGTTCAAAACTCATTGATCAGCACTGGGGTCAGCTAATGCAAATGCACGTATCAAGGTTTAAACAAAAGATTTTAACTATGAATTTGCAGCATTGCTATGACAACAGTAGCTCGCTAACTACTGAGCTGACAAGGTGACAAATCAAAAAGCACTATAATGCAGCTAAGTTTAAAAGGTTGAAATATTATTTGAATAACACATCTGATGTACCAGGATTCAAAAGCATAAATGAAGTAAAAAAAACTCCACCAGCAGTGTCAGACTGAGGATTATCACACTGCAAGTCTCTACCTCATGCCCTAAGTTGAAATTGGAAACGCGTCAAATCTGACCAACTTTGCAGCCAAAGCTAAATAAAGACCAGATTTATCCTTCAAATTAATTGCTGTCTCCAAAAAAACCCCACAAACTACATAATGTAGGAAAATGGCAAGAACAGTTTAAAGCAATAACTGATGCTAAAAACCTTTTCTATATTAGGAGTACCTGCCATATATGCACAATCTAAATCTTTGTTTAGCATAAGAAAATCTCCTCTGCTTGTCATTCTGCAAATGTAGGTACCTCCCAGTACTGGATATCTCCTAACTCATCAAATGAATAACTGCAAATCGGGTACATAAATCTAACATCAGCTACCAGGAATGAAAACTGAAAACAGAAACATGAGTGGTTGAATAATTCCATAAAACACCACACAAGCTGTCTGGCATCCGAGAGACAACGCAGCATTAATCCTAAAGGTTCTTCAGAACTACTAAAAGCAAAACTGAATTAATATCTACTGTACTAAAGGCAAAACACGTACAGCAACAGAGGTATGAGTATTCTAAAAGATACAGAAGAACACCCAAAATTTCCCTTGCTCCACATAGGATGAAGCAAAATTAACAATAATCAAGTACTTACTAAGAATTTACTAAGCTACGTGAGCTAAGAGATTGGCAAGTGTCATTTTGTCTAGAATAGTAAAAATCCACTGTACTGTAAAACAACCAAAAACATCAAATGAGGTCATGCAATTTATCTGATGACTTCCCCCACTTTCCCCAAACCTCTTGTGCTTGACGGTCTCATATCACTGGACTTGACTCCCAAAGAACTAATTAAATGGAAGCCCTCATCGGGAGACCAGGCCACCATTCAGGTAGAGAGAAAAAATAACAAGTTTTGAATTAAATGAAACAAAAGTTTAGAAAAAATTTAGTCACACTGCATCCTTCCTCTATCAGTATGCCAAATGCTTACTTTCTGAGACTTCACCTGCCATGCCTATGTGAAAAATGAGGTATGGGCCTCAAATTATGAATGTTTTGTATTCAGAAATGGACACTGTATTAATCATTTTTCTATGTAGACATCTTAATTACAACACAATCAAAAGTTACAAAGCAGAGCACTTCAAATATCCTTTACCTAAATTAGGCTGTTACTGGAAAATATCGAGGGCTGCAGACTACACTAGTAAATGCAATCACACAGTCAGAATCCAGGAGATTAATGACTTCTTTTCAGACATTGTCTCCACTGTTTCTCACTTTTTGCACAGATATGAACACGTGGGAAGACTGCAAGCCATCATTTTTTCAATGATGAACTTTCAAACTAAACTAGTTCTTATTAAAATCAGTGCTACAAACAATACTCTTTATTTCAAGCAGAAACACATATTGCCAGAGCTGTGAAACAAAGCACCCTCAAGCAAAAGTCCAACAATGCTTACTTAACTTTACTATCAGTAAATATTCTTCTAGATTTAGAATCCATTGTAAAGCAAAGTTTTTAATTCGTCTTCAATCCTTGGTCAGAAAGGTGTAAGATATAAATCACTAGAAAATAATTTACCAGAATCCAATAATCTGAAAGACTGAGTGTTGAGCTGATCCGTTTGTTGAGACATATAACAAATGTAATCAATTTCTTCACTGTGCTTCAGTACCATTTACCATGGCAAGAACCACAGTACCTAACAAAATGTCATTGGTATGCCTATCTTGAAAGCACCCATAAGAAAAACTGTTTTAATTAGGTGAGAATGAATAATGCATGCTGTGGGTTATAGCTGAAGCATAGCTATGGAAACACCTGCTACTGCTCAGCACACAGTCCTGACTTTTTTCAGCCACAACCCCAGTGCAGACTTGAGGCCTCATTTTTTGCGTGACAGCAGGAGTAGCAGGCTCTGGATCAGTTCCTTCTTACTCTGCTCTCTATGGTTTTCATATAGAAGAAAAATAACTATTTTAAGACAATGAAACTAAGAGCTGTGTTAATAAATTACAACAAATTTTTAGCAGGTCACTAAAATCAGCCCCTGTGCAAATTCTTGGGATGTGGAAGAGAAGATACAGAGCTTGCAGAAAAATTCTGAACAGTGAAGTAAAGATTAACTCGGCTTTTCTGGGACAGTCCATGCTTTAATTTCTGTTCACTATCATTTATGAGGCTGCCTACACTTGGGCTTGAGCACGAATAGTGATACAACACACTTAAAATACTTAATTGCTGAGTTCTAAGGAAATCCACAATGATGAGCATCTCAGACACTGCATGGGGAACTTGGGTGTTTTAAACTCATGAGCTGTGTGTGCTAGAGACCATTGTATTCTGGACAAGACAAGGGCACAGCTTCCTGATGCTCCTGTGTATCCACAGCAACTGTTGTTATGGTGTGCAGCTAGCTATAAACATTTTTAAACAATCTGTATTAGAGATGGTGTAGAGATACAGACCTGAAGGGAAAAAATGGATATTTAATCAAAAACTACAAACCTTCTGCAATCATATCCTCTATCTCTGTGTCCGATGAGTTGTCTGCATGTTTTGTATTCTGCAAGTCTGATTCAACACACATAACACTCATGATTTGACCCTCCACTAGCAATCTTTTTTCTGCAGGCTGTTCTACCAGCAAAGATGAACGACTTACCTATTGCAATAAAAGCAAAGCAATGGTTAACTGAAGAATGAATAACTGGAAACATTATTTGTGAGTTAGCAGTTGTAATTGAGATCAGCAGTATCATTTCTACTCTTTTATCAATGAGTCATCAATACACAGCATCAAAGTTCTACACACCTTTTCTCAAACAAATACAAAGACTCGTCTGCAAAGTTTGCAATTATATTCAACAAAGGAAGAAATACTAAATCTAGAGAAAAGAAGGAACAGGAAAAAAAGACAAATTACATTTGTTAATGAGGCAGAAGATAATATCCTTTAAGCGCGGAGGCTCAGTGCTTTAAAATTGGCCATTAGGGGATTTCAAGTTTTCAACACTAATTCTTACCAGACATATTACTACTCGGTAAAGGGGTACTTTAAACAAGGAATCATCTCAGAGGTTTAATTTATCACTTAAATTGAGGTGTGTAGGAGACAGACAAGCATAATACAAAGTTATTGTAAATGTTAGCCTAAAATCACCCTCTGTAGTTATCCCTGGATAGCCTGTTTCACTTAGTACCTTGCCATCCAGTGATACCAGCAAGCCAAACAGTAGCACAATTTCTGATTAAATATGTAAGACAGGTCTACTGAAGTGCTGTAAGAAACAAGTTACCAAGCAGATAAAAGGTCCGTGCCAACATCTGGAAAAAATATTCTAAATTTAATGACCTAAACATCTAGAAAACTACCTTTAAAAACAATTTATTTCAAGAATTAGTAGTAAAAAATTCAAAGCAACTTTTACACTTACAGGAAATGGTTCCAACCCCTCCTGAATCACAAAGCCTTCAATAACATGAGTCAGGATCTGTGGTTTAACAATAGCCTGTGGAGGTTTATTTTCTAGACTAGGAATGCTATTGGGCATTGATGTGCTGCTACTTCTTGTTGTTGCGGCTGGAAGCAAAAGAGGTGGTGGTGGAATAGAGGCATGCGAAGGATCGGATGGAGATTTAATTACTGAGGCACTGACTGATGATGTCACTGAAGGTAGTCCCGCGTGGTCTGAAAAACAAAGTATGTGCTATTTTTGTGACTTAGGTCTACACATACACTCAGAATCATACAAAGAAGAGAGACACACCCAGCCCCATACCCAGAGTCCTGTAACACAGACTTATCTCTAAAATTTATAGTTACCCTCAAAACCTGATTTTCCTTGATTGACTAGTCCACAACCAAACAGTTCTCAGGAACACATCATTTTACTTTAAGTTCTAAGCAAAACAGCTACCTAAGTTTTATGTTTGTTCTCACCCGACAAAGGCTCTTCTGAATTAAGTGCATCTCCATTCCCCAAGGTTATTGCTGGTGGAGACAAGGTCGGTGGCGTAGGTGTTCTAACCATATTGACACAATCAGACTCTTCAGGCATCTCTTCTTCACATACATTCTCCACTTGGTAAATCTACATTCAAACAAAACTATCACTTTAGAGATATTTCCAGTCTACCTTAATACTTAGAGTCATATAAAAATAGTTGTTTGTTTTTTAATTACTAGTTGAGGTATTAAAATACGCTCATTTAATAAATACTAGTTTTCAACTGCCTATGAGACAACAAATTCTGTGGGCATCATGATGACAATGGAAAGAAAAATTATTTTGTTAAAAAGAACAAGTTTAAGAGGCATAGGTTCTTCTATCAAATAGAACAGAGAACTCAACTTTTTCCAACAGCAGATATTTACAGTTCCCTGTATTTTAATTTGCACACACCCTTGTAGCTATTTAAAGACTTCTGCGAAATGCAAGCTTTGTAATTTAACCATAAGCCTGCAAATTGTTCTCCACCTTACACAGAAGCATAATCAAACAGAAGATGGTTTCTGAGCACTTACCACTGGAGTTTCAATTGGTACCGATGGCTGAACTTGAAGATTTACTGCAACAGTCTGCGGTGGTGGAAGAGTCTGAAATGGCAGCTGGACCAAAGCTTCTGCAGCAGGAAGTTCTTCCTCAGAAACCAAAGTGTTTTGAACCAAAACTTGGCCCTGAGATAGAATTTCAGGCTGGACTTGTAAAGACTGTACAGATTGCAATGGCAGTTGTTGTATCTGGGTTGAAGATGTTGACAGCTGTGGAGGAGCTGCAAGAGGGATAGGTGTGGACTGCAAGGCTGAATATTGCTGGTGTGGTGTGGAGGATACTATCTGCTGGCCTGGGGAAACTAAGCTGGGCTGATCCACTGATCCTATGTGTACAGCAGGGGAAGGTGGAAGTGGGAGGTGTGACGGAAGATTAAGGGGCTGTGCAATTGGTCGCACTGGACTGGTAGTAGTTTGCTGAGGGGCAGACTGCTCTGCCTGAAGAGCTGCTGGCACAAGGGAGTTTGTCTGTGACTGGATAAGTGCTTGAGGATGAATAATTATTGTGGGTGACTGACTAGGGGAGTGAGAAGGTGGAGGGGATACCACTACTGACTGCTGAGCTGACTGGGATGGAGTGGGAGATAGTGTTAGAGGTGGAGGATGGATGTGAATAGGTGAGCAATGAGACTGCACACTGCTAGGAGCTGGAGGAAGACTATGGCTTGGGAGTGGTAGACAGTGCTGTGATGGAGGAGGCTCCTGGCCAGAAGGAGCCTGAAGTGCGATCGGCTGGACTTGCTGCTGCTGCTGCAGTATCAGCTGATGATGGGAAATTTTGGAAGGTGGTGAATGAAGTGGGATCTGCTGATGTTTTACTAGAGAATGGGGTTGTAATGGAGAATATGAAGCTGTGAGGGGGAAAAAAAAAGTGACAATTAGCATTCACATCCTTGGGTGCAGAGAACATTTAAAAAAAATGAAAGGAAGTTTTTACTTCCAAGTATGCCCAGCACAATTTTTTCAGACCTTCAGATCCAAGTTTAGAAATACCTTATTTGACAGCATATAGTACACAAGAACTTACAGGATTATAACAATTTTGAAAGTGAACTGCAGCAATTACAGCCATATTTTTTTTACATATATATGCATACAACATACTTTCATATAAAGTATCTATACTTTTTTGGTCCTAGTTCTAAGATTATTGCTGATCCAGTCTTTTACATAAGAATTTCATGCAATTTTAAATGGATTTAACCTTTGTTTTGGAAGAGACTGAAATGGGAGAGATACATCACAATCAAAAGGATTTGTTCATAACTGCCAAGTTAAATTTTAGGTAATGATATTAAGGCACTCTATACAAAATGGTGAGAGCTCAGCATGAATCAAAACCAAAATATTTCCCTGAACTTGAAATCACAAACTGAAATGTCCAAGTCTAGAACCAGCACAACTTCCAGAGATATGACATCACATTTAAGTGAACCAGTGATTCACTAGTAATTCCTTAGTGCCTGAGTGCATGCAGACACACACATTTTTCTTCACGTGCCTCTTCTTGCTTTCCCTTTTCCACTTGAGAAATAATTTATGTCTTTCATTATTTATTCTGCTACTAAAAATGGACTTCATTCCATCCAGAAACAAGTTCTATAAGTATTAGGGTTCAATAACTGAAGCATGTTTTATTTCTCTAAAAGCTGCTACTAAGGCAAGCTAAATCCCCAGAATTAAAACCAATTCTCTAGGCAACCCTTACTCTTTCAAAATAAGAATACTAAAAAGCAAACATATGGAATGCACTACAAATGCACAACTGACCAACTGCATGCTTTCCTTGATTTATTGCTTAATTAAGTTTCTGGGGAACTATTACCTATGGATTGTTACAATTATCTGAAATCTAGAAAAACCAACAAAACAAAAACACTCTGATGACACACAAGATAACTAACAAAATGCACTTTGGGGAAAATAATCCACACATACTTTCACTGCTTCATCTTAAGTGTGCATACACAGTGACCAGTAATGAGAAGTATGTTTGTACTGAGATTCAGCTGTATATTGCAATTGCTGCGTTGCATTTGTACTGTGATTGCAGGATACTGCAGTAACAATCCTCTATATCAAAGTCCCATGTAACGTCAAATACCAACAAATAAGAAAACTTAGTATTAAACATTAAAAGAACCTGGACAGAAAGCATTAGACTCTGACATAACTATACCATACAAACTACTTCAGTTCTATAGCTTCGTTCTCATCCTACCTGGTGTTATTAACTGATGTATGCTCGATGTCCGTGTGACTGGTGTACTCCGACACTCTGGCACTGGGCTATCACCCTTTCTATTGCTTTCTGAGGATTCTGGTTGGATGCCCTTGGTGCTGGTTACAGGTTTATTAGCACACAAAGACAACGACTGAGTTTGACTGCTGCTTTTTGGTGGACCATTCTGTGAACTTGACAATACACCCAACTTCTGACTGCGCAACGTCAAGTTCTGAACCTGAGAAATTAGTAAATCATGAAGACAAGCACAGGTAAACATCTGTGATAAAAATAGCAAACAACAGAACATTCAAACTGTGTAATTTACTTGGATTTCCAAAAGCATTCTAAACAAAACCCACTGCTAATAACTTTAAAAGAAACTGTTAAGAAAGAAGGGAAGATCTTTCATGAAAACAAAAATTGGACAAGTGTTAGCTTTTCACAGCAGGAGACAGTGACTAACATTCTGTAAGGAGCTGTGCTGTACCACATGCTTTTCCAGATCATGTATAATTTCAGTTGTGAAATGACAATACTAGTTTAGCTGAAAGCATGAAGTTATTTATTGTAATTATCTCTCATCCTTGTTACCTCGAGCTGAAATTTTATACCCAGAATCCCAATCTTACATATAATACAATCACCTCTAAAGGCGTGACGACAGTAAAGAGAATACACTGTAAATGTACAGAAACAGAATAATTACTAATTTTTGTAGTTCAGTAAAACTTAAGCATAAAGTTTACTTACTTCCCAGTTTTGGCACACTTGGTTTGGACACACCCTTAAGAAATTTACATAAGCTCACCTGAGTAGCTGCAGACTGACAGGAAGATGAGGAAGATGATGAGACAACAGGAATGTCAGACTGAACAGCAGCCACAGTGGTAGCAGGGGTAAAAATTAGCTGTTAAGCAAGAAAAAATACCAGGTAACAGAATAAAACTTTGAAGATACCTTAAAGAAAAGCAGTGCTGTACTTTTGAAGAGAAATACATGAATTACACATCATGATGTACAGCTTCTAAGAGTTACTTTTTTTCCTTTAGATGAACATTATTTACTGCACTATGTTAAGTAAATATAACTTAAAATGAATAACGTAAAATATTTGTTCTACAGATTCAGAAAAATACACATTTTCAGCTTTTACATAAGAATTTTAAAAAAGATTTTCCTTCCAATTCTACAAGTGAGTGAAAAAAGGCAAAAAAGTCAACAGTAGCCCAATTCCTACAATGTTAAAGAAAGAAAACTTTGAATATCTTCTAATCTCTCAAAATGTGATTTAACAGAATTATCAACTTTAACTACGCTAATTAAGTTACACTGCAAGAATCAACCAACCTCAAGTTACTAATTTCAATATATCAATATGACTAATTGTCACTGATTTCTTTAGCCACAGTATAACAAAGACAAGACTTATGGAAGGCCTCGTGTAGAACTTGGTAATTCCTATGAAATTTCACACACTGTAGGTAGGGATCAGTCGGTAAAAGACTTCCTACAGACAGTATTCAATAAAAAAGTAAATAGAATCACTACACAGATTTCTCAATATTGCCCTTTAGAAATAGAAATGTTACATTGATAGGAAATGAGAAGATCTAATGATTTTCATAAGAGTCTAAGGAGAATCAAAGCTATGCATCCAACTCAAATTCTAGAGAGAATCTTAGTTAAAATGCAAGAAAATGAACTCTTGATGTTACCAGCGTATTGGAAAGAGCCCAGTCCTGAAAATAGATAAACACCAGCACGTCCTTCTTACACAGCCAGAAAAGAGGCATGTTCTGTTGCTACTTTTCCTATGCTTGACCCATTTAACAATCGTAGTAAGACCAGGCTACATAAGCAGACTTCAACTGCAGAACTAAGCTATAGCAACCTTTTGTTTCTCTGACTTCAGAAGTGTTCCAGAGTTTGATATTCATAAATTAGTAACTAAACTCTTAATGCTACCTGAAACTAAAGAAAAATACCAAAGCAGTTCCTAGAAACAAAATAAGAATGGAAACAGTATCATTTTGGGAGAAAAAACAACCCAAGCCATCCTCAAGCCTAAGGACTGAACCAAAACCTACCATTTGTGCTCGGAGATACATCTGAGCCTGGCTTGCACTCAGGGTTGGAGAGGTACTCCCTAGCAACATAGTCTGCTGGGTAATACTGCTGCTGGTGGTGTTGGAGGTCTGTGAACGGCTTATTATCTGTGCAGGTGTAGGAGAGGTGGAGAGGTTAATCTAAGGAAACAAAAATATTGCTTCTGTCATGGAAATTCAATCATCCTAGGATTTAAAGCCAGAAAGCCTTTGACAAAAAATGGCAGGGTCAGTTGAAACCTCTGAACTGTAAAGATACCAAAAACGTATTGAGCCAAACATCAAAAAATTGGGTTCTGGCAAGACTGTATATTTTCATTCTCAAACTAAAAGGAATATTTAGCAGTAAATAATAACAAGCATTAACAAATATAAATGATGATGTTACAAAATCTGAAAAAATATATCTCATAGAAATACATATTCATACAACACATAGCATAAAGCTTGTCATTTTTTAAGAAAAACATTTCAATTTTATTATATAAATATCTTGTGTTATCTGACTGAACTGACAGCTTCTGAGATGCTTGTTATTAAACTTGACCAGGATGCCTACTTGTGCTGACAAACACAGACTCTGATTTCTCATATATACATTTAAAAATGACTGGAAACTACAGCTCTTCATAATTTTGTATTAAAAGCTCATAGAAAAATTCTTTTTGGCATCAAGCAAAAGCTGGTTTGTTTGTTTTTCTAACACATCTAACAGAGTTAAGTGCCCAGCTCTTTCAGATCATTTTAAGATTTCCTTGAAAATCCAAGCCCAATTATTCTGTTAGCTTAACATCAGACATCTTTTAAAACTTTCTCTCAAATTTAATGAATGAATAATTTTACTTTTAACAATTGTAAGCCAAAGCAATGCTATGAGAGCTTAAAAAAGCTGTACAGTTACATCACGGAAGCTATGCACTGAAGCCATGAACAGCTTGAGGGCATGGTTAATAAGCAGGATGTCTGTAGGACTAACAAAGGCCTACTCAAGACAATTGTAGAACTGCACATGGAGACTGTGCAAATTACACATCTGAAGATGTTACTTAAAGAAATGCAGTGTGAACTGAACACAGAGCTGCTAACAACAAACCTGAGCACATGATTAGAATATGGACAAAATAAGTTAAAGTGCATAAAAGATGCATGATAAACAATGATAATAAAAGAATGAAAGCTACAAACACTTTAACCAGTTTCATATAAGTAAGTTAGAAATGACTTGGATTCGTTAGATTCAGTGCTCTGTAATCAGTGGTATACACAGTTATGACTTCAATCTACAGCTGTGCCCTGACCAAAGAAACTAATGTGAAAAAAAATCCAGCAAGAAATGAGAGCTCAGGGAGGGATTCCTGCAGCAGTCTGAACAGTCACTTGTGCCCGTTGAGTGCGCAGCTGCCCCTCGGGGCACCAAAAGTGGGCTGGGACCAGGGAAGCCTCCAACACCAACCAGCTCACACCAGGCTGAGTGGCAGACACCGAAAGTGCAGCCAATACTTACTGCAGTCATCATTCTGCTATTTAGTGATCCTGTAGTACTCTGTTTAACCACACAAATTTAAATACTGAAGTATTTTCTGTGCTGCCAAATAGTTATAGAATAACCAACAGGGGTTAAGAATGGATGGAGGGCTTTGTTCAGTTACGTACCGAGGTCTGCGACATGCTTGACTGCTGAGTGACACTCCCAGTGGGGGAAGTACATTGCCTCCCACCTGACAGGCTTGCCTAGATAGCAAGAATAGGTGTCAAATACTGAAATCAAAAAATGTTTAAGTGATGTTCATAATATTGCATAAACGGTCAGAAAAACTCCTCTCTACCATTAACTTTCCCTGAGTTAGCAGCAGGAATGCTGCTCAGAGGAACTAGTTTTCAAAGTGAACTCCACGCTGTAAGCTGGTATCTGCAAGGTGTCAAATGCCTTGAACTCCTTCCAGCTTTCAGACAGGCTCTTACAGATAAAGACCTGAACAAAAACTACCAGAGGTAAAGTTTATCAATCTGCTAACAATGGAGCTAACAGATCAGCTCATCACCTATGGTGTTCAGAACTTACAATATGACATCATTAAGAACTGTTATTAAAACTCACGTTGTAATTTTTATTATGACTGGAAGTCTCTAAAATTAAAATAAGTTCTATAAATGCTGCAAGGAACATCCCCATATCTTCTAGAATTATAATTAATGGACACACAACAAGTATCAATGGCAGTTCACTGTTCCTGACCTTCAGTTGAATACAGAGACAGTGATTTAGATATAGATATTTTAATAGACTGCATAACAAAACTTCTTAGCCTTCCCCAATCTAAATCTCTTCACTGTACCTCCGTAATAGCGTATGTGTAAATCTATTCCAAAAAATAAATCAATATATTATCTTGACCTACTGAAAAAGGTACGTAAGTAGAAGCCAAGAACACAGAAGAGTCCATCCTACTTCTGAGGATGAACAGCTGTATCCCTGAAGTTTTTACCTGCATTAGTGCTTCCTCATACAAAATAATTACCAGCCACCTATCTCTGCAAGACAGTACTGTCAGTCCACGGTCAGCTGAGGTCAAAGGAAGTCTTTCCACTGCTTGAGTTTTCAGAACAGGCCTAATCCGATGTTCTGTGGCTATTAAAAGCTTTGCTTCAGAAATGCAATGTACCATTGTCATTTACTACCTATATTTCCACTCCTGGAGTTAAAATTGAATTTTGCCTTTACTTACAACACAGCCAGATGTGTGGCAAGACACACCAGATGTTCACTACTTGAATCTGACTTTACTAAAGCACATGGCTATTCACTGCTTTCCCCATTAACTTTCAGAAAAAAATAATGGGATGAAGGCTGAAGTAGTCTATTTTTAATATACATATCTTTTCCTGTTTGATGATTTACACGATGCATTATAATGTATGCAGTAAAGCATGGAATGGACGCCTACTGGAGCACCTACAAGGCTGACTAAATCCTCCAAATAGTTTGGAGGAAGATACAATTCAAAAGAACAAAATCATTAAAATATAACACTGAATTGTGAGACATTAAAAGCTCAGGCACTTAACCTGTTATTATGTTTGATAATACTCTAGAATTGCAGTCCTACTCCAGAAAGTAGTAAACCACTATTTTTCAGCAATCTTCACTCTCACCTGTGGTACAGTTGCCAGACTCTGAAATTGGGTACTGCTTAAGTGCTGCTGCTGCAAAGCAGCAGTCTGCAGCATTAGATGCTGCTGCTGGGCTGCATACATCTGCTGGAGGTACTGAGCAGCTGAGCTAGGAGGACGATGCAAGGCCTGCTGAATAACCTGTGATGAATCAGTAGGTAATTATTACAATTATAAAGTACACACTGTGCTAGCACGATGCTGAAGTTTACCTGTATGAGGAAATAAAGCCAAATAATGCCTTTCCACACCAATTAGACAATACTGATTTTGCTCCATCACCACTTTTTTCAACAAAGTTACCAAACACAGTCACTATAAATACATCCAGGTTTACAAATAAAGCCTGGGCAATCCATTGTTCTATTGTCACAAATGATATTGTACGTGTCTTACACTCTCAGATCACATCCTACACAATGTTCCATCTTCTGGAAGATGAGTATAGTTTGTGAGATTCATTATCAAACCCAGCAGAACAGGCTGTACAAAATTCCAGGTGATCTTAGTCAAAGAACAATAAAATGGGGGGTGGATCCAAGAAGCAGAGTTACACACGCAAGGATACCTCTGGATCCCTGTAGTCAACGTAAGTCAAGTGAAAACCTTTATATTGTACTATTACTTAGTAAAATTTTATGTTAATAATCCGCACCTTTATGGAATACTGATAAAATCAAATTTTCACATAAAATTTTTCTCTCATTATTTGGAAGGCAGGCCTGTACCTTGTCCTATCCTTAAGTGGTCTGATATCATTTAGTAAACAGTAATGAAACAGCATGAAAACATTAAGCCAGACATTGAGAAAGAAGATGGAAATTAAGAATGGAAAGTTAATTTTGTGCACTAATTTTGTGTGAAGTATTGTAAAAATTTTGAGAGCATCGTACAAGACAGGAAACAACATCTGGCATCCCAGTACCTGGACAGCATGCCTGTCAGAGCCACTGTAGACAGATATCTGTGGAAGCTGTGTCCGGGACGTGGAGGTGGTAGTAATGGTGGTTGTGGATGCAGAACATGTTGTTGTGCTTGGCTCATTCTCCATAGCTGAGCAGTGTTCGTCCAGCCTGCTAGAATTGAAATGGAAGCAGTTCATAAACAAAAGCCACTACATACTGATTTTGAAGGAGAAAATCCAAGCCTCGTTGAGGAAGAATAACAGATAATTTGCAAATGGATGAGCTCAGAGCATCAGCTATTACTTGATGGAATTTATAGAAAGATGTGGTATAGTGGCTGGCAAACCTGCACATAGCAGGGGGGTTAAAACTAGATGATCATTGTGGTCCCTTTCAACCCAGACCATTCTGATTCTATGAAGAACTTCTAAGTTGCATCACAAGGAGCAATAGAAGACCAATTCAGGAATACACATAGGACTTCCAGCACACTGCACAGGTGTACTGCCATGTCCCTCTTCCCCAGAGCATAGTGCAGAAGCCACTGGCTGCCTGTTGTGTGCATTTAGCAAAACAATTCCTTGGCTAAAATCACTGGTGACACGCTCTATTTGGAAACAGAATGAAACTGTACTAAAAAAAGGCTTTTATTTCCTACAGCAATGCCTCCCAAAATAGACCAATAGTCACAGAAAAAAATACCTAGAAGTATCTCTGACAACTTCTTCCTAACCTATCAAAACTGCTTTCTGTTGCAGAATACAATTTCTCTCCAAAAATATTCTCATATCTCAACATATGAGGGTTGTTTATCTTAGGTTTTTTTCACTTTCAGTATTATGGTTAACAGGAAACAGCTTAGTTACAGTTAATTGCTTTTTAAAGGATGCTTAAAAAGAAGCAGGTGGGGAGAAATACTTCCTTTTTACAACAAAGAAGAGCTCAGATAAATAATCATTTAGAGAGTTGCAATGCACTAGGAAACAAAAAAGCAGCACTGCCAAGTGCTTAATGAAAGGCCCACTGGGTGCTTCATCTACCAGGAGCACATTTGGGAGTTCCACCTCATACTGCTGAAAGCAGAACACAGAGTTGCCCCTCCAAAAACATGACTTACAGACACTTAGAGAAAACAAATAAAACAATATCCTCCTCCCCACAAAGTTCTCCATACTGACTTGCACTGCACACACTGCCAGTTACATGAAATGCCCAAACTTCAATAGATGATGCATGGTCCCCAACAGACATCATGCCCATCGCTGTATGGATATCTGCTATCTTTTGACATTGAAGTTTTGTGGCAATGAAGTTTGCTTTCAAAGCACAGATCCCACCACTACAAGCGAAGGAAAGTACGGCTTCGTTGTAAAACATTCAGACCTGTTGTGTATTTAAGATGTCACTTATCCACCTGCAGGAGAGCACAAGCTAGCAGAGACAAATTAACTGCTTCAATCGTAACAAGAACAACATCACTTTTGAAACCACTTCAAATGAATTTCACACAATGCAAATGAAAAGTGCCTTGAAAAAAAATTGTCTCCTCCAGAGGGCATTAAAGGCAAATCAAAATATTTACACCTATAACTTGCCTAGCTTGTTTCAGCAGTTACGCAACTGTTTAAACTAGCCTAACAACATTGGATGTTTAATTTCCTTACCTCTTAGCCACATTTAAAACTTATTATTGAGATGAGCAATGTGTCTCCCTGCAGTAGCTGAATCGGAAGCTCACCCCCTACTAGCTGGTAATCTTTTGCCTGAAAGTGTCTTATTTTAAAGCATACAGTGGTGTGGCCTGGCACTGATGTGCACCTGCAGTCCTCCTCAGGCACCAAATGCCACCCCTCGGGTCCCACCTCAGCATGGCAAACAACGAGCTGCAGCTGGCAGCCCTGGCATGGGAACGTCCTGCCCTCTGTAGGCTGAAACAACACTGAGTTGCCTCAAAGCTTCTCCTCACATAAAGTAAAAGGCAGGATGCTTAAGGAAATTGACAAAACGCACTTTTTAAAGTAAGAAAACTCAGCATCCGTTAACAATTTAACAGACAGTTCTTTTATAACAGAAAGCATGAAAATCATTATGGAATTCTCATGAAAAGTACATCAAGACAATGTTGTATTTGTAACTATAACCAGTTCTCAGATACAAGCAAATACAATCTCCTGAAATTGTTCGTTAACTCCTCAAAAACGTCAAAAAAGCAAAACTCCCCGCTTACAGAGTTTGATAAATGAGCCAGGACTGTTCACAACACGGTCTGTGTGCAGATATACCTCAAAGGTCCTCACTGAGGACTGAGCTTTAGCACAGTTCTGGCTTTGAACAATCACTGTGCATATAAAAGCAAGTCCAAGATACAAAGCACAACAGAAAACTGCATTTAGAAGTATTTATTCAAATAGTGAGCATATTAAACAGTATGTAACATCAAGTTATACCATACACGATGGAAATATACGGAAGTTTTTGTTCTCTCCCTGTTCTGAGACTTAAAGACCGAATACCCAAAGAAACATCAGAGAGCACCTGCTGTTGCACACTGTGAAGCCACCAGCACAGTGCGTGTCTATGGCACAGCTCCCACCTGAGAAACTCCAGCTTTCTGTAAGCGACACAGTAAAAGCCAACATTGTTGACGCTCTGCAGTTACTATGGGGAAGCCAGTAAGTTTTTTCACATTTAAAATATTTACTCATTTCATTCATTGCCTCTCCCTACAACTCCCACCCACATGGAACACAGAAGAGAAGCGACAACTCCCTATAAACGCAACCTCTAGGAGCAGTTCTACCTGAACCTGGGAGACACTGGAAGACAATTTCATCTGTTCCCCACTCCACCTACACCACAAACCACCCTCGGCCAAACCTCGGAGTACCAAACCTCAGAGCGACAAGGAGCTGATTTTATTTTCAACGGAATAAAAAATAAGATTTTTATTTTCTGCTGCGTGGCACCCATCCCACGCTCCCCGGGGCAGCGTGTCCCTGAAGCACCGGCCCGGCCCCAGAGCACTGGCGGAGCCCCGAGGCAGCCCCGCGGGCAGGGCACGGTCCCCCGCACGCCGCGGCCTCACCCAGCACAACCGCCCCGCCGCGCCGCAGCCCGGCCCCGCCGCTCCGCTCTCAGCCCCGCGGCGGCGGGCGGAGAGAGGGGCGGGGGGAGGCCCCCATCCCGGGCCTGCCCGCAGCCGAGCGCTGTCAGGGCTCGGGTCCCCGCCTACGCGCCCCGCCCCGCCGCAGCCTGGCCCGGGCCTGCCGCTGCCGCTCCCCCTCCTCCGCGCGTCCCGCCGGCACACTCGCCTCGGACGAGCCGCTCACTCCGCTTCCGCCATCTTCTCGCCTCCCTCAGGGGGCGGGGCCGCGCAGGCGCGCTGGGTGCCGCGGGGCACGTGATGGCCCCCGCCGCCATCTTGTCGCCTCGTCCGTCAGAGCCCGCCGTGCTGAGGTGGGGAGGCCGCCTCAGTGCTGCGCGGCTTGGAGCGAGCTTCAGCTGCAGTGGGAAGGCGGAAGGCGATAGGCTGTTTTGAGAGGGCTGGGGAATGTGAGCTATTCGCTCACAGTGCTTCTTCACTGGCTCCGAGTCTCTCCCTGCCATGGGGAAGGCGGCTTCTTCCTCTGTATTGTTGGCACGGGTGAGCAAAGCCCGGCCTCCATAGGGACAAGCAGCTGCTGTACCATACCAGGCTAACGTAAGTCTCATCCTGACAAATTCAAGACCGTTTTTCTGTGATGAACGAACACATTCTGTATTTTAGAGTTTCACAACGTTAATGCAGAGTTTCCACGCACACCAGTATTTTCAATGTTGCTTAACGTTCCCAACCATACAGAAAAAAAGCTCAGTGCTTTGAGAGCAGGCAAGAAATCTGCTGCATTGTGCAGGAGTGTGAGATTGTGACACTCAGTATCTAACAGTAGCTGTGTGTGTGGAAGTCAAACTGTTAAAACATTGGTAACAACAGAAACAAGTAACTCAGCAAGACCTTTAGATGGGATAATTGGATGTGAGGGAATAAAAAAAAAGGTGTCTAGCAGCTGAGTGGGATAGATGAGTACTGTACGAAAAAAAGAATCTCAGTAAGCATGTTATAAATGCAAATGTTGTCCGAAGAATTACAGGCAAGCTTGAACTGGTGAAGCAGTGACACTGCCCACAGGACCTTCCTCCTTTCCTCCACACTCAGAATACATTTAACAGTCCTCACACATCTCCCCTGTTGGAGTTATGAGTCATCATCATAGTTTCCAACACCTGGTGCATTGCTTGTTGGATCATCCTATAGCGTCCAACAGACTGCTTTCAATTTAACAGATCTGTAGTGGTGAATGGGAACATGAACAAAACAAAAATCAAAGAGGGTCTTTGCCTTAATGGAGCCTGAGTGACTTGCCTTATCTGTCCTAAAGTATGATGAGCTATCAGATGAAGTTTGAGCCATCTGAAGGGCCGGGGGATGTCCTTTCGGGGGGTGCTCCGTTGGAGGAAGACACTTCAGGGCCGTCTGAGCTGTTCCTGAGAGGTCAGAGTGCCACCGTGTGGGGACATCGGGCTTACAGGGGAATTTTTTGGCGTGGTTATGCGGCAGTGCTGAAGGCTCCAGCAATTGAACTCACTCAGATTCCAAGTTTGGACAAATTGTTGGGGTCTACTCCTTTGAGTGCCTAGGGAATTTTGCACCGGCCATTCCCCACATTCCTCAGTGCCTGCTTTAACCTTTTAGTCAAGTAAACAGGCTCTAAGGGCTGACGTGTTTTTGCAAACCACAGCATCCACATGTGAGTCTTACACTCCAGGTGACTGTTAAGGAGGCTGTACTCACCAGTTCAGCAGATCCCCTGCCTCATCCCTGGATGTTTGGTGGATTCCTGGAAGCCATGGTCTGATGCATTTTGGAGCACTGAGGCCAGGCCTCCAGTGAAATCACCGGTGCACATTTGGTTTCTGCTCTTTCCTCCATTGCCAGTGCCAACAAGCTGGACTGGGCAAGGCTAATTTAAGGACTCATCTGGGTCTCCCCAAATGGGGATCCTAACAGGGTGCTTCTCTGATCAGCGCACCGTGCCAGAACCCACACAAAGATCTCCTCTATTTCAACTCTGCAGAATTGCGTGTTTAGCAGTCCACGCACCCCGAAGCAGAAGCACAAGTTTCTATACACAGCTATTTACAAAACTCCTTCCATCTGCAGTTTCTGATTGATTGCTGTTTTCTCTTTGCTGGGCACAGGTGTTGTGATGCTGAAGATTTTACGTTCTGGAGCGCAGACACTGCTGCCTCATTTCCAAACAGACAGGAGTGAGTTTTAGTATGTCAATAGCCCTCATTGAGCCCTAGAGGTCACTTTCAGACCATTTTCCTTCCTTTTGGTTGACACTAGCACATCAGCCCATACTTAGCATACCTGCAGTACAATGTTCACCTTTTCTTGCCCCTCTATCTGCTTTCCACCATGCCAAGTACATCGTTGCAGCCTAATGCTGATACCGTCTTCCCTGGCCTAGAGGTGGAGGAGCAGCATGCTGTGGCCTCTTCAAGAAGTTCTATTTGTGCTGCACCAGAACTGGGTACCAGCACGTTGAGCCATTTGCTTTGAGCTCACGCCTACACAGGTGGGTGCTGGGTGGTGACCCCACAAAACCAGCACACCTTTGGGCCGGGCTATCCCTAATTGCTGTTTAACCACCCATCAACTATTAACTGCGTAGATTTATAACATCTCTCAGCAACTACACACGCTGAGTTTACTGCTGACCGAGCTAGCCTTCAGAAATGGAAATCTCTTCTCGTGTGTGAGAAGCTCCTTTCCCGCTCCTCTCTTACAAGCTCTCCTGACCGTGACGCTGCAGCCGCCACAGAAGCCGCGCCTCACAGCACCGCTCTGAGCGCGGTCCGCCTCCCGCCTTAATGGCGCCAAGGCGGCGTCGCGCAGGCGCAGTGCTGCCCGTGCGCGGCGCGCTGCGGGCCGTACCACGTGTCGGGGAGGCAGGGCGGCGGGGGGCGTTGTTTCTGCCCCGCCTAGTGCGGAGCGCCTCCGCGCCGTCACGGAGATGCGGGGTGCCCTATTGCTGCTGGTGCTTCCCCCCTTCTTCTCTTTCGCGGTGGAGCGTTCCGCTCCACAGGTGTGCTCTGAGAGAGCCGCAGGGAGAGCCCACCTAGCGCGGGCTGGGGGTGCGCCGAGCACAACGCCGGGCTGTCCACCTTTCTGCCCGGAGCGATCGAGCTGCCGCCCGCTCCCAGAGCGGCTCCTCAGCCTTACCGCAGGGCTGTGCTGCGCTCTCGCCCCGCGCCACCCCTCGTAGCTCCACGCGCTCTCCCCGCCTTTTCCCGTTCCCCCCCGCCCCAAGTGGTCCCGCCCGCGCTGTGCCGGCGCCGTGCGGCAGGGCGGGCCCGCGGCGCGCCGGAGGCACGGCGGAGCGGAGGGGTTGTGCGGCCGCCTCCGCCCCCCTCGTCCCGCCGCCCTCCCGCCCGCCGCCCTGCGCGGTGCCGCCCGCCGCGGGGGGATGCCGACGCAGCGGGACGGCAGCAGCACCATGGCGGCTCCGGGCGGCGGCGGGGGCGGCCTCGGCGGGGACGGCGCCCACCAGGTCCGCGTGAAAGCCTACTACAAGGGGTGAGTGCGGGGGCAGGCCGCTGGGAGCGGAGCGCCGAGCTCGCTTCCCGGGCTGAGGTTTCCGTCAGCGCCGCTTCTCCCAGCGCCGTGTTCAGCGCCGCGCTTGCGGTGGCGTGCGGAGCTCCGGTTATTCGAGGAACGAGAGCGAGGGTGAGGGGGCACAGCCTGGCCTCGCCTCCCGCGGCTCCGCGCTCGGGTGGAGGCTGGCTGCTGTGAGCGGGCGGATGGGGCTGAACCGCCGCGCTTCGGGCTCAGCCCCGCTGTAACAGCTGGGGCAGCCGGCTGCGAGCGGGGCGGTCCGTGCCTCGTCGGGTCCGTGGGTTCGGTCCGAGCTGATCTAACCCGAAAAAAATGTCGGCTGCGTTTTTGGTTTGCGACCAAACTGGAAGCACTCGGCAGCTTCCTTCCAGCTACCTGCGTGGATTACAGGAAAAGGCTTATCTGACCGTCAGTGCTCTGATTACAGTATGTCTGGCTTTCTGTAAATACAATATATCTGGCTTTATGGCTTCAAGGAGAGATACAAAAGCTATGCTAGGCATTTAGTATTTGGTAAGGCGCTTAGTTTCCGGCCTGTGTCTGCTCTGGGGCTCCTCTTGACCAAAGCACTGGCACTGTCTGTGGCTGTGAAGGACCTGTGGAACCTGTCAGAATAACTATATGTGAAACTCAGATCTTTGCCTTCTGGTCTCATCAATCCCCCATTTCTTGAATGCTACCAGCTGACAGGAGGGCTCGTGTGGTTGGGCGGTGAACTGAAGTGGAAGTGCTTTGGATTAAACACATTTATTTTTCTTCTGCTGGGTCAGTTTTAATCTTGGTCTTCTCCACATGTGGTCGTACACATTCTTGCCTTAGCGCTGAGAAGCTGTGGTGCAGGAACAGAGATAAAGCAGCTGTGGGAGTGAGCAAGAAAACTGCTGCGCTGGACTGGAATGCTGGTTCATGGCACTTCAGATATAAGGCAGTGATTTCACAGGCACTGGAATGTTTCTTTTGAGTTTCATCTGCTGACTCTCGGTTAACACAATTGTTGGTTTGCTTTTAATCGTGACACTGAGTCATATGGGCAGCTGGTTAACAAACAAACAGATAAGCTGAATGCCTTGGCAGTTATTTGTTTTGAGATCTAAACAAGCTATCCTTTCCACTCCCCTGTGGCTCCCCTGTGACATACTCATGCCTGCTTCTCAAACCAGCACTGTCAAAAAGTGGATATCAAAGCAAAGCAGTTGACTTGCACTGGGAATGGCTGGAGACTGAGGATCTAAGTGCAGGTATCAAAGGCGATGTTTACCCTTTCATCAAGGAAACTGCGTGAAGATGACAGTCGGTTAGAGGATTTTATGGGAAATATTGTTAATCAGGAAATGTTAATCTTTCTTGATTTTCTTGTAATAGAAATGTGGAATGTGGTGGTCAGGCCCTTGCGTGGCTCAAGCACTGCTCTTGCAGCCCCACAACACCCCGGGTCTGGCCAGGAGCCTAATTGCTTTTCTCAGCCGAGACAAAAGCTTTCATGAGGAACTCTTTGAAGGGTCTTTGTTTCATTCAACCGTGCAGTGGTAGTTCTTTATCTTAAATTCATGAAATATGTAAAACCGGGAAGGAAAATTTTCCTAAAACAAACAGAGGTGATGGGAATAAGAGGATGGGAATTCCCAGAGAGTTGGGATCTAAGTTGTGTTTACCCTGATATTTCCTTCTCCCAGTTGTAGGACTAATTGCTTGAAATGCTGAAAATAGCCTCTCCTGTTTTAAAGAGTTCCTGTAATCTATGCCCTGGATGTAGCAGGAGTTCCCACCAGTTCCTAGGAATTTATTGTTCCTTGTGTTTACATTCTTTTTTTGCTGATATACTGACAAAGTGTAGCAGCTTCAAATGCACAGCATTTACACAGCATCTATAATTACAGCCGTTTTAGGTCTCTGATGTTGTTTTAAAAGCTTACTTTTTGGCTTATCTCATTTGTTGTAGGTGCTTTTTTGTCAGTTCAGTACAAGAGGCTGTTACATCAGGGAAGGGTTGTGCTGCAGTGGGTGAGCAAGTAAGAGTGCTACCTATGCTTTACAAATCCTATAGGACTAATATCATTGATTATAGATGTGTGTGTGTGTGTATATATATATACACACACACACATCTTGAACCATCTCTCTGTCATGATTAGATCTGCTTGCTCTTTGCAGTGGCTGGCATAGGTTTTGCACTGGTTTAACTGTGTAGGCTGGAACGTAGGTTAGGCTTTTAGTACAGTTAAAGGCACACCAGTCCTTTACCCGCAGTTTGTATTGTTTCAAAGGAGCAATATCCCTGGCAGTCTTTTCAGAATACATGTCAATTGTGCTGCTTTTCTTCATTTTAATGCATTTACAGGAGTGGTGAGACTTGTGGGAAAAGAAAACAGTTCCATTTTTACTGTAAAATCAAAATGCACTTCCACAGATATTTCCAGAAGACAATTCGTTAAAGAATGTTTGATTTCCCACATCCTTTGTTTACACTGTTCTTTGTCTTGAAAACTTTCTGGTCGTTGTTTCTGCTCGATGTCTTCTGTTGCCCCCGGAATGCAAAGTGAATGTAAAGGTGTGTGCTCAGCTTAAAGAGCTTCTAAAAACTACTTACAAACACCAGGATTCGCCGGGAGCCTTGCACGAGTTAATTTCAGTGAGCTGCCACTAAGCGTAATCAAAAGATTAACCCAGGTGTATGATGAATGTGTGGGTGTGTAATTAATACGTGACTGGATATCTATGTATGTTCACAAATGTAACGTGTGATAGCTGTGTTAGGCTCCAGATAATCAAGCGGCAGCCTCCCACAGGAGCTTGACTTTAGAACTGAGAAGTGAGGTACACCTATTCAATTGCATTTAACTGTCAGCATTGTATTTTTCCCTTTGTTCGTGTTGCTGAAGGGCTGCTCCTTGTGATGAGGTGAGAAAAGCTGTCTGGTTGCAGAGAAGACCTGGGGAAGGTAGCAGTGAGGCTGGTGGTCTTCTAGAGAGGCATAAAATCCCTACGAAGTTGAAAAAAACACAGTGCTGCCCTATAATGAGATAAGTAAAGCATCCAGATGTGGAAATGGCTGTCTGGAATCAGATTGCTTTCTAGTTCCTTGTGTGTGTCATGAGGAGGCAAATAAGGATATGGTGCTGTGGAATAGCTTTGTAACAGGCAGGTCTGCTGAACAGAAGCTTTACTCATTGATTTTATCAGAATGAAAGGATTTGTTTTTCTTTTGTCATTGTGAAAAGAAAGCATTTTGTATTTTCTTACACAAGACAGTGAGCTATGGCCCACTGTACGTTCCCTTCATTCTTTTACACAGCTTACTAATTTTTGTATAAAATACCACATTTAGTTTAATCTTGTATTTTAGGTTCAGTTGGTACAGCTTTTTCCTAGTGAAGACATGCCCAGTGTGGTGTTAGGTGCAGGAGGTGTGGAAAACACCATGTAATCTGAAGAAGTGATAGCAGAACTAGTTTGGGAACGAGCCCGATCTCTGTGGAAAATGCCAGTGTAGTTAAAATTGCCAGGTGAGCTTGTGGAAAGACAGCATCGTTCACATTCTGCATCATGTAAAGCCAGCTTCTCGTCTCTAGAAGGCGTGCTGTTGTTGCTTGCAGACTCTTGTTTATATTTACATCCATTCTTCTGTTCAGTGTCTCTGCTCTGGCCAGAGTTCTGCCACGTGTGCAGACAGGTTTGTGTTTGTTCTAACAGCTGGGTGCTTTTCCAGATGTATTTTGCTGCTGTCTGGTGTGTCTTCTGTTGATGGGGCTGGAGCGGCACTGCAGAGAGCTTGGTTAACTTCTGAAATAACCAAATTCCCTTTTTATTTATAGGGCAACTGCTTTGCACCTGAAGGTAACGACAAGTAGGAAGTGTTCCTTCGGTTTATATCAGCTTTTACTGTAACTATACTGAAAGGCTTTTTGTTCCTAAGTTGTTTGATACGTCTTAATATTGTGCATATGTGACTTCTGTTCACTGTAGTGTGGATAAATCTTTTGGTGAACTTTAGCTGAAATTCACTGAAGTTGCTAAGCAGTGCCTTATCTCCTGCCTAAAATGTAGGTCCCTGAAAAACAGGAAATACAGGTTAGGACTTTGCCTCCTAATAGAGCCTTGCGGGTTTTGGTTGATGGCTGCATGTCAGTAACGTGCTGTTAGATGTGTGGAGTTTGCAGAGCACTGTCCTGCACTCTGGATCTGTGCTCTCTATGCTTTTTTTGGGAACATCGGTGCTCAAACAGTGGGTTATGAGCTGTTTGGAGAGTAGTGTTGTAAACAGCCCTGGCATTTTTCTCTTTCTTTCCACCTTCCTTTGCGCTGTACCTCTGACATTCTTTGTTCAAAGGACTGACCCAGAGTCACCTATTCCCCTTGAAGGCCCAGCAAATACCAGGGCAGTGGGTCAGCATGTTATGGTAATGCTTCTAAAGCACCACTCTCAGTCTTAATTAAAAC